TACCCCCCCCCCCCCCCCCACACACACACCACCACCAACAATGTTCGATCCTATTTACAGGACCTCACTCTATATGAAAGTGTAGCAGAGGCACTGCCAAAGTATAAAAAACAGCAATTGAAATGCAAGCTGCATTGTGCATGCATGGAGGGCATGGGGAAGAGACTGAGAGGGTGAAAGTGAAGGAAATTTGTTCCGAAATCAAGAGAATCCGAGGAACCCTTGCTGCATTCTTCAGTTCGATAACGTCAGTGGGTGAATCTCAGATGTGTTGTGTGCCCAGACATACAAGTACAGCACTAACCTGAGCATGAGAGCTGCTTGTCATCATCGTGGTCAGGAAAACGAAAGGACGAACGAGGAAGCCTGATTGCTGACCATGCATGACGAACAACTGCATATCTAGACGACAGACGGCTTGCCAGAATCAGTCTGGTGTATCTTCAGGAATCTTCTTTCCTAATCGCATTCAGCAGTCAGCTTCGAGGTCAAGAACGCGATGATATTTTCAGAAGGAATAATTTTCAAAAATTTTAAATTTTGGAGAAGAAGCTTCCTTTCTAAAAAAAAGCGTTCCTTGCTTTCACGCAAGGAGGTGCCTTGCCGGACATGTCGTCGACAGCACAGTGTCGGCAGATCCACGTTTGTAGGCTGCAGACCCGGCAGACGTTTTGATCATCCCGGCCTGGTGGTGAGATTTTGGACCCGGGAGTACTAAAAAGCTGCTCGCATCCCAGGGTGCTCAGTTTCGCTCTACCCGCGCGAGTAGGGGTCCAGGTAACGGGCTCTCTTTCGCGGCCTGCGGAGCATAATATACCTCCACGTCCCTACATGGTTACTTCCCCTTGTCCAACCCCAAAGGCGAAAATTAATGGTAGTACAAGTAGCCGACTAGCCGAAATTTAAAAAAAAAACGGTCTCAAGAAGGTCGACTGTATCTAACTTGTACCCTTGTTTGAGTTTCACGAGTCTATTTGAGTTCAATGTACATGTACTCCGAGTTTCGTGACAACAGGGCGATGGATCATCACTGACAACAGCCTAAACAACCGTTGAACCAGAGAGGTAAGGCTGCGTTTACACGACACCGCGCGCTGGGCCTGGGGGTGAAAACGCAACAAAATCATTTTTTTTTCATAGCCTGATATTTCACGAGTGACGGAGTCTATTGCACTTGACACACAACTACTAGCACTACCTAACGTTGCAATGACATTATGTAGCCCTGCACTCTGCAGTAGGATGGGTGAGTCTACATGTCACGCAGACTGCATGTCTATTATAGGATGGGTGAGTGTACATGTCATGTAGACTCACCCATAGTGTAGGGCCAAAGAACCTTCGGACAACAATGATTGTCATCGTACAGAAGATGAAGATGCCTGTGATGTGACGGTGCAGTATGTCATTCTGTACAATTGTCTGTCTGTCTGTCTCTCTCTCTCTCTCTCTGGATGGAGAGAGAGAGAGAGAGAGAGAAAGAAAAAGAGAAAGAAAAAGAGAAAGAAAAAGAGAAAGAAAGAGAGAGAAAGAGAGAGAGAGAGTCTTTCTGCCTGTCCTTGTCTCCATCTCTCTTTCGCCCTGTACCTGCCTCTGTCCGTCTGTTCCGCTGTGTGCTTATCTGACTATTCTGTACAATTGTCTGTCTGTCTGTCTGTCTCTCTCTCTCTGGATGGAGAGAGAGAGAGAGAGAGAGAGAGAGAGAGAGAGAGAGAGAGAGAGAGAGAGAGAGAGAGAGAGAGAGAGAGAGAGAGAGAGAGAGAGAGAGAGAGAGAGAGAGAGAGAGAGAGAGAGAGAGAGAGAGAGAGAGAGAGAGAGAGAGAGAGAGAGAGAGAGAGAGAGAGAGAGAAAGAGAGAGAGAGAGAAAGAGAGAGAGAGAAAGAGAGAGAGAGAAAGAGAGAGAGAGAAGAGAGAGAGAGAGAGAGAGAGAGAGAGAGAGAGAGAGAGAGAGAGAGAGAGAGAGAGAGAGAGAGAGAGAGAGAGAGAGAGAGAGAGAGTCTTTCTGCCTGTCCTTGTCTCCGTCTCTCTTTCGCCCTGTACCTGCCTCTGTCCGTCTGTTCCGCTGTGTGCTTATCTGGCCATCTCTGTCTCTCATACAGTTATAGTACTGTGCCTCTCCTTATTCGCCCCATTGCAGTTTATTGGCCGTGTCCAGCCATTTTGGTCAGCGAATCCAAAATTAATGAAAATCGATATGCATGTACAATGTAGTTAGACTTGGGCGGAGAGCCAAGGAATATTTTTTATAAGAAGAAACTACTCAATCTGCTAGACTTGGGCGGAGAGCCAAGGATTATTTTTTATAAGAAGAAACTACTCAATCTGCGGACACAAGAACTGTTTCGTCCTTTGGTAAGAAGAAACGGCAAGTTACACTAGAATGTCTATACCACCACCACCATACCAGTTAGTCTTTACAATCAGCTCGTGCGATAACGGTGTACGACACTGACGCAATGTTATCGCAGGAGCTTCTTGTAAACTAACTGCATGGTGGTGTTAGTGGACATTCTCAGCGTAACTAACTACTTACTTGTTGCTCCTTGGTCCTCTTTTCTTCTTAGAAAATCGATATAAATAATCTACAAAATACCGCTACGAATTTAATAGTGGTACCTACTTCGGCGATAATTTTACTGGAAAGTGCTGTCCACACTCACCGTCCAGGAGCAACACTGGCTCATACTGCTATCTGGTACTAGCATTCACGAGATGTAACTGCTTGTCTCAGTGGAAAAGGAGCGTCGCTGTAAGTTTGTATCCCTGCTGATGTTTGGACCCGGAGAGCACTAACTATAGCTTTGTTCTTCAGACACAATCTTCCTCAGCCTACTCGATCAAGCTCAACTGGTGAGGGGTGAATCGCCCGAAATACTGTGCACTAGTATTGAGCAGGGAGTGGGCTTTCTTGCAAGTAAATTCGATGGACTGCTCGCGTGCTCTAGTTGGCAGTAATGAGTCAGTCAAGTGTCAAGTCAAGTCGGCGGAAAAGCCCGAGCTCCTGTGTGGGAAGCAAACGCTTTCAATAATTATACCACTAGTACTGCACTCGGGAGAGTGAAGTACATGTACGTGTATTACTATTATTAGTTGAAGACACCACTGCAGCTGTACTTACATGTATGTAAAGACGCACCTGGCAGCATGGCTGTAAATACACGCCTGCCCACACACACGCTCTCTAGCCTAGGCTAGCTGCAAAGTTCTGGCACAGAGCTCTCCTTCTCACCACCACCACCACCATCATCAGTTCGCGCCTGGCGCCTAGTCGATGCATGGTTGGCGGTATCCGACATAGCAGGCTGGTACATCTGGTAGCACATTGAAGATGACACAGCAACAACATACATGTAGCTCGATTGCGACGTAGATACTAGTACGTTTCATGATGTAGCTCGTTTGCGACGTACGATTCGTCCCCGCTGGACTCATTAGAAAATCTTCTTCTTGGATGTCTTCATACGGAGCTTGACTCGGGAGAATGAAGTAACAGTTGAAGACACTGCTGCAGCTCTATTCGTGGGTGATTAATTATGGTGGTAAAGACACACCTGGCAATATGGCGGTAAACAGCTGTGTCATCTTCAATGTGCCATGCGCTATAGCTAATGTACCAGCCTGCCATATCGGATACCGCCAAACATGCATCGACTAGGCGCCAGGCGAGAACTGATGGTGGTGAGGAGAGTTCTGCAGGCAGGCGTGTGTTTACCGCCATATTACCAGGCGTGTATTTACCGCCATATTACCAGGTGTGTCTTTACCACCGTATTAATCATCCATAAGTCGAGCTGCAGTGATCATCATGTCTTCAACTTCACTCTCCCGAGTCAAGCTCCGTATGAAGATATCCAAGAAGAAGCCTGATGAGTTCAGCGGGGACGAGACGTATGTCGCAATCGAGCTACCCTGGTATGTTGTTGCTGTGTCATCTTCAATGTGCCACGAGCTACCACCTGCTATGTCGGATACCGCCTACCATGCATCGACTAGGCGCCAGGCTCGAACTGATGGTGGTGCATGGTGGTGAGAAGGAGAGCTCTGTGCCAGAACTTTGCAGCCTAGAGACCGTGTGTGGGCAGGCGTGTATTTACCGCCATATATTGCCAGGTGCGTCTTTACCACCGTATTATAATCATCCACTCTCGTACTGTACTCTTCAAAGAAGCACTAGAACACGGAGGAGCGTTCGAACAGCGTTACAGTCCATTCAGATACCAGGTTGGTCCCCGTGTACGTGTCATGGTTATGGTTGTAGTCAGGAGCACTACGCGTCCTCGCCTTGTAACATGCTGTCAAAATCGAAAAACAGGTCATGATGTACCTTGAAAGTTGAAAGCCCGATATGGGCCGAATTCAGGCGGAGAGGCCCACTTTAGATCAAAAATCTTGGGTTTGGGGGCGTTACAGTCCATTCACATACCAGGTTGGTCCCCGTGTACATGTATGTACCTTCTTGAAAGTTGAAAGCCCGATTTGGGCCGAATTCAAGCGGAGAGATCCACTTTAGATCAAAAATCTCGGGTTAGGAACCTGATTCTTCACAGATCTTGCCATGGTACAACCGTCCAACTATTCTTGCAAAACATGGCCGAAGTTCTAACTCCGGACTGGGTTAAATTTTCCGGTCACACCTGTGGCAATGAAGAAGAGGAGAATTGCACGGGTCACACAGAACAACACTGTAGTACGGGTCTAAACTGTTGTTTTCACTGCAAGTACTACAATAAAGTGACGCCGGACACGGACAAGTTAGGTCGCCAGCTTGAGATACACATGTACATGGACTGTAGATTCCACGAGAGGTTTCCGGCTGCTGGCGAAAACGGTTTCATCGGCCACTCTTCCACCGTCCAGTCTTCTAGAAGGCTGGCGGATTACAATGTAGGAGCAACGAGAGCGGACCACCACAGGCAGCACAACTCCAGTGGCATTCGGTATGCGCGTCAACTTCGCCAGCATGCTGAATTCATGTGTACACCCCCAGCACAAGACAAAAATGAAAAGATAATTCGCCCGATGTACTTGGGCACAGAACAAGCCAAACACAGCATAGCCTACCAGAAGCAGCAACAGCGAATAGAACAAACCATCAGCACACAGCCACAAGAAGAAGAAGAAGATAAAGGAGCCTAACAAAATGAAAAAAAAGCACAAAAGGAAATCTTCACCTCGAATTTTTCGCTAATCTAGCCAAAGATCCCACAGCGCGTGTGAGTTTGAGTGCGTGTGCGTGTGTGTTTGGTACACTTTGCAGATCCTCATCACTTTACAGTCATAGTCCTGGTGCGTCCATTATCATTGCGTTTCACTGTCATGCCATTACGACTTGTCAACTTTCTTTAGCAGAGAGCGTAACGTGGATTTTCTCTTGGCAAATAATATTCTTGTGGGAGATGGATGGTCCAAAAAAAGCAAAAGTGGGAAAATTGCCTTTCCACTCAGATTCATAAGCAGTCAGACTAACAATAGCCAGAAAGAAAGAAAGAAGAAGAAGAAGAAGAAACATAAGAGTGTACGGTGACGGTTCGCTGGGACACACGCGCACACACACACACGCACACACACACAAACACACTTACACCGAGCAAAGCAAGCAAAAACAGCAGCCGCAGGCCTCAACGTAACCAGGCCCTCCGCTGCAAAATATTCAGATACAGGAGCAAGGCGCTTGAAGAAAGAGAGAGAGAGTAGCACACACGACACAGACAGCGGTTGGAAAGAGGTAGTGTACTAGATTACGTACACACCTTAGTGTGGCTTTGATGTTGGAATGTGATAAGGGAGGGCGGGGGCAGCCAGTAGAGAGATGCATGGCTAGAGACTAGATAGCTCTCTGTCAGGATGCGACACGAGGAACTGACGTTCGGAAATGTGAAATGAGAAAATCCTACCTAGTATGAGAGAAGAAGCAATTGCACCTTCGCCGCCACATGCGCTCGTATGTGATGCGTGCGTTCTTCAGCTAAGTAATAGTAATAGCAGTAGTAGTGAACGTTTTTCATTAGCACCATCACCACCACCAGCAGCAGCAGCAGCAGAAGCAATAACAGCAAAAGAGGCAAAAAAAGAGTAAAGTAATGAAGCGAGAAAGGAAAAGAATGAAGAAATCTGAGACTGACCAGCAGTCCCGTAATTGCAATAAATCAAATATCTTCACAGCACGTCTTGCCTGAATACAGACACACACAGACACACACACACACACACACACACACACACACACACACAGACACACACCCTATCATTGATCGCCGACATTTCCAGCAGCTAAACAAGTTCCGCGTATATCGAGTGGCTACGCAGGGTACCCGGAGACACCATTGACACTGACACACACACACACACACTGCATAATGTAGAAACGCACAGATGCACGCAGACAGACAGACAGACACACCGCCCACCCACCCACGACAACTCACTCACACACAAATACACACAAACACAAAACACACACAAAACACACACACATGCACAACATCAGCAGACCACTACACGGCCAGGCAAGACAGGCTGCGAGGTCGCCGAGACCTTGAGGTTACAGCCTCGCCAGAGGGGCTGTGTAGGCCCACGGCAACTAGCGCATACACATGCAACGCTAGAGGTTGACGGAAGCATTGACGACCGCCTCCAGCAACTTATCCACAGTGTCTGAGGTGTCATCCGCCTCTTCACCCTCACTCTGGCCGGTCTGTACATACACAACAACAACACACACACACACACGCACAGAATCAACATTAGAAGCACACACACACAGCAAAGTCTCTTCTCTGTTGTGTTACTCAGAGCTCAGAGAAAACCAGCCATCACGCAGTCTCAGTAAAGGTACAATTCAACTGGCATACATGTACAGCCATGTCCCATAGGTCTGAAGAAAAGTAGTGCCAGAGAAAGGGAAAAAACCATTTCAGAAGAGAAAGGAAAGGGAGTGACAAAAGGTCAGCTCAAGTAAGGACTATCACAATGCGATGCAGAAGGAAAAGGCGCAAAAGTGCAGAAGGGGGGGGGGGGGGGTAAGGGGCAACAAGCAGTTGGCCGTGTTTCAACGTAGGACTATCAAAAGGCAATATGCTGTCGCGAGAGCTGTGAAGTATTACAAGGCAGGCAGGCAGATGCAGGGCTTGGCTCGACTTCCACCTTTCTCGAACTCTGGCTTGTCCTTGCTTGTGGCTTTTCATCTTGTGAAAGCAGTTCCTTCTCGATTTTTCATTTCAAATTTTGTTGCAAGATGCCTCCCAGTCGAACCTCCTGCACTCTCCGAGAGAGAAGAGCATTTTTGTCGCTGAGAATTCAAGACAGCTGCTTCACTGCGAGCCAGTTTGGCGTTTCCCAAAAAGTCCATTCGGATTAAGTAAACAAATGACAAAATGGGAGCAGAAAGTGGAATAAGTTAAGAACATTGGCAGCGAAATCTCCGCTGTATAATATTATCATTCATGAAGAAGGGAACAACTAAATATTGTGTTTCAAATGTGTCTGCTTGGTAGAGTGAAAAACGTTAAAAGTAAAGTAGGGATGTGCACATAGTATATATAAAAAAAAAAAAAAGTCAACTTTGCTAATAACGACTGCGGATAAAACGACAATTCGCGAATAACGACAAAAGCTCCATGCCCAGAGCAAAAGTCTCATCTAACTGTAATACATATAGTGAGACTTCGGGTATAAGGACACTTTTCTGATGCCCCGCTTAGTGGCGTTATACGCAAAGTTGACTGTAGGTCGGAAGAGCGAGGGTGAACTTTGAAGACGCTCAAATAGATGTATTCTTGTGGGAAAGTGCGAGCATACAAACCTCTGGTAGAATCTGGCAATAGGATTGAACGAGGAGTGCCGAGCTTCTAGTGGATCAGGAAGGGTGCATAGAAAAGTGGAAACTTTGCAACGAAATGCACTGATCAGGGAGAGATTATCTTTGAAGCGGATTGTCCCTCGCTCATAACACGCTGGGCAAAGTGAGTCGACAGGCCATGGATTGCACGCCATGCACGGCATAGAATACCAGTTCATACAACAACAAGGAGCATACATCAGCACATCGTTTGCTAGCAAATGGCAAGCTGAGGATTCTGTCTAGTGTACCTGATCGAGTCCCCCTCCTGCCTCCGCACATACACACACACATACACGCGCACACACGTGCACACCACACAAGACCCTACCACATGCACGCACACACGCACCGACGCCCTCACACACACACACACACACACACACACACACACACACACACACACACACACACACACACACACACACATATACACACACACATATACACACACACATATACACACACACACACATACACACACACACACACACACACAGACACACCACCACCACCACCACCACCACTACTTACCTCTCGGATAGAGCGCAACAACTTAGCAACATTTTGCCGTAAGCTGACCAGTTTATTCTCCGAGGCTTGCTTCTGATTGGCCGATTCAGCCTTGAAGCTCTCCACAAGCTTATTCAGATAGGCCTCATATTGATCGAAAAACTCCGTCTAAACAAAATCCACAGAGACGACAAAGACGTGCATGTGAAGAGGGAGAGAGAGAGGCCGGCGTGCGCACGTGTCACGCGCACGCGTGTGTGTGCGTGTATGTATGTTTGTGTGTGTGCGCACATGTGTATGTATGTACATGTATGTATGTGCACGCGTATTTGTGCACATGTGCATTTGTGGTCATGTACGCCCCTAAATGGTGTAAACCTTTACCATCATGACTGCGAACAAAGATACTCCATTCCTATGGGGATGGTCTTGGTGCTTACAGGGTGTGACTGCGTACAGGGACAGGTGAACTGTGACTGCATACAGGGACCGGTGAACTGCGACTGCATACAGGGGTAGGTGAACTGCGACTGCATACAGGGACCGGTGAACTGCGACTGCATACAGGGACCGGTGAACTGCGACTGCATACAGGGACCGGTGAACTGCGACTGCATACAGGGGTAGGTGAACTGCGACTGCATACAGGGGTAGGTGAACTGTGACTGCATACAGGGGCAGGCGAACTGTGACTGCATACAGGGACAGGTGAACTGTGACTGCATGCAGGGGCAGGTGAACTGTGACTGCATACAGGGACAGGTGAACTGTGACTGCATACAGGGACAGGTGAACTGTGACTGCATACAGGGGCAGGTGAACTACGACTGCATACAGGGACAGGTGAACTGCGACTGCATACAGGGACAGGTGAACTGTGACTGCATACAGGGACAGGTGAACTGCGACTGCATACAGGGACAGGTGAACTGCGACTGCATACAGGGACAGGTGAACTGTGACTGCATACAGGGACAGGTGAACTGTGACTGCATACAGGGACAGGTGAACTGCGACTGCATACAGGGACAGGTGAACTGTGACTGCATACAGGGACAGGTGAACTGTAACTGCATACAGGGACAGGTGAACTGTGACTGCATACAGGGACAGGTGAACTGCGACTGCATACAGGGAGAGGAAACTGTGACAGACGAATTGTTTACAGAATGCAACAAAAACAAAAACAAAACTCACGATGGGGAACTCGGCAAGCTGGCTGGTGCTCAATTCTCCAATCTCTTCCTTCTTCATATCCCAAGTCGGTGGCAGGAAATACTGCAGAGACGTACGGAACTTGTTGGCCACCTCCGTGTTCATGGCTTCTGCAGCAGCCGTTTCTGCAGCGGACCTTGCCGTTGATGTCGCTGACGCTGTACCTCCTCCGGCAGCAACTAGCGGTGGAGGAGCCTGCTGTGTGCCTGCCGCCGCTGTGGCGGTTGCTATTGACGACGTGGCTCGCGAATCTCGCGTGTTACCGACCTCGGTATTCTGTGCAGGCTTGTGCACAGCTGCTCCACCATTGTCTTGCTTAGTACGAGATTGTGTCGGGGAAGAGGACTGCGTAGAAGAAAGCAGAGAACAAGAGGAAAACGCATAGGGCTCGGAAAGATTGTTGTTGGCATCAGCTTACATGCACGAGCTCAACCAGCATAACACTCTACTCACATGTACAGTGGAGATCGGATCTAACGACCTTGCATGTAACGACAGGTTGAGTTTAGCGACACAATTCTGTTGCCCAAGTCCTTTAGTAAGTCCTTTGTAAAGATTGTGTTTAGTGACAGATCGAATATAGTGACATTTTGTTCTCTCCCGAAGGAGTGTCGTTATATCCAATCTCCACAGTAAAAGCAGTTCGTACACACTTGCACACGCACTGGCTCACATGTACACGCATGGGTGATGTGACGTGGGTTCCGGTGTGAAACAAACAGAAGTAGGGCTAAAAGGGTGCGGATTGAGATAAGCGAGGAGGGGGCACGGGCAAACATAGACGCATGGACAAACGTCTGTGCGCGCACACGTACACACATACACACACATGTGCACACGCGCGCGCGCGTACTCCCATCTTACCGATTTCAGCCGGAGGTTTTCACTGTTGACGGGGAAATGCTTGTCAAACTTGTCGTGAGGGTTCTGATCAAACTTGACCCGCACCCGTAAACAGCCGTTTTCCTTGTCCAATCGATACTTGGTAACGCGACCTGCATACCTATAACGGGTTAGAAACAAAACAAACAAAGTGTATCACAGGCCTACAGTACCCTCCTTAGTAGAAAACAGGGGGGGGGGGGGGGGGGGGGTTGTCAGCTGTCAGCTAACAAGTGACACGAGTCCTGCACAGCATGCAGTGGTGCCTGCAGTGAGTATTGTACGCGGGACGACATAGATCATTATTTTAGAGTGGTCATGTAGTCAATACCAGTCGTGTGCTATGTATGCAAGCCAGGGCATGTAGTCAGTAATGTGTGTGTGTGTGTGTGTGCGTGTGTGTGTGTGTGTGTGTGTGTGTGTGTGTGTGTGTGTGTGTGTGTGTGTGCGTGTGTGGTTGTGTGTGTGTATGTATGTGCATGTGAATGGTAAGCACAGGAGGTGGGTAGCATGCAGCAGGATGGGCTTATGAAGGCTCCACATCACTAAGCTCATTAGTAGTCTTACCAATGTTCATTAACTTTCGCCTCCACACGACTTTCAAGTGGATCTATAAAAGACACGTAGCACATTTCAACATAGGCCAAGTCAGCATATAAACGTATCAGTAAAATCATATACCGTGTGTCAGCGCCTTTAAAGCCATGGCCTTATATTAGGGATTTCAGTCACGTGACTTTTTGGCCCGAAAGAGCCTTCATGCAGCTGCATTGATTTGGGGATCTGCGCATGGCACAATATTTGCGGAGGCGTTCAACTGTCACTGGATGGTGCAGTGACGCTTGGAGACAAAATCGAACGGGTTTACATGAGAGTAGAGGTTTTGAGCTTTCATTTGGTACCAATCTCGGTGAAATGGCGTAAAAAAGACTGGATTTGTGCGTCTTTCAATGATTTCAAAGTCGATTTTCGATTTGATGCAAGCATGGCACACACTCGCAACATCGATAATCGGATTCCGCACCCTCGATTTAGATTAGATCAGTTCCTTGTATCTTGCTGACGAGTCGCGGTTGTTCGCGAAATTTAGTAGAACGCCATGGCGTGCGAGAAAGACGAGTCTTGGATTGGCCCTCTGTGCAAGAAGCTGTCTCTGACGCGAAATTTAGTAGAACGCCATGGCGTGCGAGAAAGACGAGTCTTGGATTGGCCCTCTGTGCAAGAAGCTGTCTCTGACGCGTAAACAGTGTCTTGACTCGCCATCAGGGCGGGTAGCAGTGGATAGTCCTGGCCAGCTGACGAACAGCCTCGTCCTTGAACTTCTGTCGTGGACTACAAACACGCAAATAAATTGGCAGTCGCTGATTTTGCTGTTGTCAGCAGTGGATGGCAAGGAAATAGACAAAGTGAACGCGAAAGCAGTTGGGACGAAAGTCAAGCGGGTGAGATACCGACGGAAGAAGCTGCTGAAGGACAAAGCCGAGGACGCCATCAGCGAACTGCTTTGTCAGCCATTCGTTCTGCCTGAACTGGATGTCATCCCAGCACATAATGTCGGTACTGAATCGTGTGACATTCAAAAAGAAAATGCCAGTAAATTTGAAAAAAATTCTGTTGAAAGCCTGTCAAAGAAAATCATTGATCTGGAAGAAGAATTAGCAAGAAAAAGGGAAACTGCAGAAATCTGTTGTGTGTTCCACGCGCCGAACCTGACACATCGGCCTTTAGCATTGACTCCCCTCCTCTCCTCTGGTTGCTTTAAACGTTCTCGGCTAAAACGAGATGTCAACCGGCATGTGGCTCGCCAGCATGGACTCTCTTACCCTGACTCTGGCTCCCTGTCACAAGGGAGTGACGTGGCCCTATGGGGCAGTCATGCTATAGTAGTAGTATGTGTGTGTGTGTGTGTGTGTGTGTGTGTGTGTGCGCGCGCGCGCGCGCACACACGTGTGCGTGTGGGTGGGTGTTGGCGCACGGACTGGTGGTGGGTGCGCGTGTTCATGGATGAACAGGTCTATATGTATGCTTGAAATGGTGTGTGAGAGTGCTATTGCTGTTGTTGCTGCTGCTGAGCCTCTGTCTCTCCTTCTGGCATGTGAACATTGCAATGTCGCGTATTAATTGTGAGGCCAGTCGCAACCACTTTTGCTGAGCGCGTCACTTGTAGATACATGTATACTATATTTTTACTTCGGCCGGGAAGCTCATTGTCCTGTTTCTTGTTCAAACATTAATTGGTACATGTATGCTATGCCATATCAGTATGTACATTTATCCAACAGGTGAATTTTGATACAATGAGCAGCAGTTTCATAGATTCTAAGCCTGTTGCTAAGGTCGTTGCTATGGACGCCATTGTTGTTATTTCTGTTCAGTTTTTAAAAATTCAAAAAAATATTCAGTGACTTTATACCGGTGGGCTCCACTAATCATGCTGTCCAAGTTTGGTGCGATTTGGAGCACTTTGGGCTGTTGCTAGGGTGTTGCTATGGCCTTCTTGAAACCCGTTTTGTGCCGTGCTTCCCATCCTAATTGTATACTTGCCGATGAAGGGTACCCACCCGTATTCAAATGATCATAACTCTGGTTTCCCTTGGCCGATTGCTCTGATTTTTTGGCTGGTTGATAATCACATCCATATCTTTCATTTGAGCCATAACTGCAGTATGCACTGTTGACAACAAAAAACCGCCTGAAATCCCTACTTATATTCGAAACACCGCTGCTTTCCTAGATATTTTAGATGCAAAATGACTCACCCACTACGCCATGCCATAAAAGTCAAAGTCCACACAGAAATTTCAATCTAAATCTACTTGTTCACCCTTCCTGCTGGGCTGTCAGGGGCGGATACAGGGGGGGGGGGGGGGGGGGGGGGGGAGGGGGGGGGGGGGGGGGGGTTCAGGGGGTTCGGACGAACCCCCTAAAATAATTTCGACCATGGGTCCAGTCGATTTTTTTGTGGTATCCAAGTAACGTTAGTCAAGTGCGCAGCCAGCGAAGTGTAGCGTAGATCTACCGCGTAGCCAGTAGACTTCATGATTCACTGGCATGCAGTGCAGGTCAAGGCATGCAGTGGTTGGGACTGTTGTACGCGTACCGTTCGAATCGAAGTGTCTGTACGTACGCGTATCATGTGACTTGAAACGATCGACAGTTCACTCAAGTGGTGGAGCAAAAGGTGGAAAAACTGCCACTTGTCCTACTCTCCCCTGACTCACTTGTGAGGTCTGCATTCGCCACTAAGGTGTGCAAGGCATAGGCATAGTGGTGGCCTGCGGAAGCGAAGGCTAGTTTGTGTGTTTCTGAACATTCAAGCGATGCCAACGCGAATCCCGCGAATTATTATTATTATTGTCCTCCTTTAGCCTAGTTTAGGCTTTACCTTCCTTGTCGTTTTGTTTTATTTCGCGCTGGCTGGACTGTAGATTTCCTCCGTCGCAGTACGAAGATAATGTTTGTGTTTGTCGTGTAGTTCGCCATGTCGCGGTGGAGCAAAAGGTGGAAAAACTGCCACTTGTCCTCCTTACCTTCCTTGTCGTTTTGTTTTATTTCGCGCTGGCTGGACTGTAGGCTTCCTCCGTCGCAGTACAAAGATAACGTTTGTGTTTGTCGTGTAGTTTGCCATGTCGCGACGTCTGCCAAAGAGGCGAGCGGCCGATCAGTTGCCATTGAGCTTGGCTTGAACTTCGTTCCGCCGTGTACGGCGCGAATGTGACGACACGGAGTCCCAGCCGGAGGACAGTCAGAGAACTTCGCCTTCCGTCAGTTCGGAAAATGCTGCAGTCACGGCCTTTAGTTTCTGCCTGTGCTGCAGCTTTGTACTTTGTAAGGCTCTAAACGCATTACCCTTGTCTTGTTGGCCAAGGGCTACCGTGACTATAAAGATTTTCCAACTCCCGGTGTAGTGGGTTACTACCGAACCGAAAACAGTTTGAAGCGAATTTAATTCTGTGCACTCGAAAAAAATTGAACCCCCCTGAAAAATTCCTGGATCCGCCCCTGCTGTAAGTTTTCTAGCATTGTACTTATTCCTTCATTTTGCAAAACAAACTTCAAATGTCATTTCATTTACAAAGCCCATGGCTTTATAACTGAGACTGGCTTTATAATCGAATATACCGCCATGGCTTTAAAGGAGCGGACATACGGTATGTACGAGCTGTGAATGGTTTCATTATCGAGTTGCCTCTTACGGCCATCTCAAACTCAACAAAAGAACACGAGTAGAAACCATACGGGATGAGAATGAGAGAGGGAGAGGGAGAGAGAGAGAGAGAGAGAGAGAGAGAGAGAGAGAGAGAGAGAGAGAGAGAGAGAGAGAGAGAAAGAGAGAGGAGAGAGAGAGAGAGAGAGAGAGAGAGAGAGAGAGAGAGAGAGAGAGAGAGAGAGAGATAGATAGAGAGAGAGAGAGACTAAGAGAAACGAACAAAACAGGCACTAAGAGGACGATGTTGCAGCAACAACTTACACTTGTCTGAGGTTAAACCGGGTGCGTCTTGTAGGTTGGCTAAGCGACCACTGACAGCAGCGTCATCGGGTGCAGTATCCTGGCTACCGCGTCCAGCACCACTTGATGACGTTCTGCTAACCGGCGCAGACTGAACGCACGAACAACAAACAAAGCAGATGAGAACGGAATAGCGGCAACAGCAAACCAGAATCTTTCTTCTCCTTTGCTAGGGAAACAGTAAGGCATCGTCCATATATATCGAACTTTTTTTTAGTGAAAAACGAAACGTTGTCGTTATGGGGTGGCAGCGGGTTGACCAATTTCGTTTCAGAAAGCATTGATTGATGCACATGTACATGGAAGTAGGAGCATGCAGTGACACACTTGCGACTTTTGTTGTACACGCATGCACATGTACATGTATAATTATGTGAACACTTTTTCTCCTTCCAAGAGGTAAGGGAAGGAGAGGTTGGGTTGAAACGAACGAAATGAATGTGACAGTCACAGAACTCGACATGTACCACATTTTTATCCGAAATTAATTCGTTTCGTAATAAACATCGATATTCACTTTATATCTAAGGAGGACATGAATCTGCTTCAAGGCTAGTATGCTTTCTGAGAAACTCTTAGTCATGCTGTAGTGTATGCAAGTTGTTATATTTCCACTACACAGTTATGCAAGTCGTTATATTTCCACTACACAGTTTGCTACCGGATCACCATATCACCCGCCTTCAACTCACTCCTCAAGATCTGGACCCGGAGGCGCCAGATCAGTGAAGGTCTTCGGCTGAGGCTCTACAACGCCTACGTCATCCCAGTCCTTACCTACAACTGCGGCACTTGGGGCCTACCGATGTCGGAGCTCGCGCGAATGGATTCGTTCCACAGGACCCAGCTAAGGAGCATCATCGACATGCGGTACCCTAAACAAATTAGCAATGGCACTCTGTGTAAGCGCTGCGGAGCTGTCCCCATCAGCGAGATGATCACAAGGCAGCGCTTCAGTCTCGTTGGCCATATCTTTCGTTTGGCCCCAACTGCTCCTCAACAGTTAGCAGTGGATACGTATCTTCGCGTGGCCAACGGCGAGGGCACTGAACGCTTCAGGGGTCGACCTCGGACGACTTTGGTAACGGTCTTGCAGATGGAACTGTCATCATGGCATGGACTTACCGTCCACCAGCCGCTAGATGCTGACGCAGTCCGCACAATGGCAGCGGACCGACAGGCATGGCGTGGAGCCCGCCCCACCTAACAGGACTGATTCTCGTGATTCGCGTGATTCCGCCAGACATGTTGTATGCATATTCTATTTTATTTTATACTTCGGATGAAGTTTTCCATTAGTCCTATTGTATTATTGCTAACGGCTTTTGTTGACATCACTTCTGTAATTTCAATGTATCATTGTATTACTCTTCAGACATTAATCCTGAATGGCATAAGCGAAAGTGGCACCCCCGCCACCTACGCGGACATGCTTTTAACCCTTATCCATCCGACAAAATCGCTGAGCAGGCCAAAATTGCAATTTCACGACATATTTTACCTTCAAATTATCATAACTTTAGTCTCCATTGGCCGAATTCCATCATCTTGCGCTTCCTGGAAAGGTCCTTCCACGATGAATGCACAGAGCCCACATTCGACATCTATAAAGCCACAAGTCGAGCGCCGCCACTTGCCAAACTTGCCCCAGCGCCAGATCTGCGGGCAGAATCCAAATTGTTTCGCCATTTCACTCTCCTCCATCGCTGGACTTTGAATTTTTGTGTACAGAACATTTATTTGGTTTTTACGTCATGAGCATGTGCTTGGTGACGTAACTGTCATGCAAAAAAGAAAAATCTGACTTTGAAAAGTTCCCGAGTGCAGAAAATTCGCAATTGCCGTGATTTTACTTTCGGCGGACGATATCGTTGCAAGGGAGCATCGTAGCTCTTCGGTAATTGTTTGAGACGATAGCATGGTGTTTTCCAATGGCGATAGACCCTTCGATCATGGAATTTGGTCAAGAAATGACTGAGATATGATGGATTTACTGATCGACGGATAGTCGTAGATTTTGGACTGGTCGGACGGATAAGGGTTAGTAATAATAATAATATCACCATATCATAGTATGCAGTGTGTATGCTGGGATTTGATCGCTGTTTTTGTTGTTGTTGTTTGACCTAGCCAAGAACCGACTTGGACTCTCGGAGTCTGTGATGGTTTGTGAGTGCATGGAAGTATGCAGCTTGAGAATGTCTGTTAGTCGGCAAGGGGACAGGACAGGACATAACACATGCTTACCTTGATTAGTGGACGATTGACACTGGGCCGTGAGATCCTAGCCTGCGAGAGAGACACAAGACCAGAAAAGCAGGTGTGGGTTACTAGTATTGGGGGGGGGGTACTTGGACCCGCTTGGAAAAAGAACACTGGGTCACTTGTTACCCGGCTGGGACTCAATCAGGAAGGCCTAAGACTCCCTGATGTACAATAGCTGCACTTGAACGTACCCGGCTCTGACCCGGTTACAAGAGTTGTGCCAGGTACACGTGAACCCGGTTGGTTGGAAATCCTAGAGCAGACACTGTACCCGTGTGCATATGTGACTGGTTTCTGTCAGTTCCTGAGTACTTCTGGAGCCTGGGCTATTTTACTTTGCGCGATTCTTCAGTCTTCCTGTAATTTAGTTCCTTTCCTCCCATATTCGCCTTTATGTTATTGGGCCCAGTTCCAGTTTAATGTGCGAAGTAACATAAACGCGAACAAACAAACTTACGGGTGCAGAGCGTCGGATGATCATCGGCCCTTCATCCTCGTCACTGTCATCACTTATGGAATGCTAGCATGAAGAAAACAACACATCACCACATCATCAGGCTTAGCCACACGTTCTTATGCTACAAGGCAACACAAGTCCATAGCAAAGAGCATGCAACTCTCTTTTACATGGGCCAGATGTGCGGCGGAAGAGTCATGGGACAAAAGGAGTGAGATCAACCCCCAGGTACACACCTCGTTCACACGCACACTGAGTGCACATCGAGTATGAGCGCACACACAAATCCACCCACCCACTTGCTCACATGCAACACCCACTTGCTCACACATGCAAACACACACACACACACACACACACACACACACACACACACACACACACACACACTTGCTCACACACACACACACACACACACACACACACACACACACACACACACACACACACACACACACACACACACACACACACTTGCTCACACGCAAACATCCACACGCAAACATCCACACGCAAACATCCACACGCAAACATCCACACACACACGCACACACGCACGCACACACACACACACACACACACACACACACACACACACACACACACATACCTGAGCAGGTGACTCCTGAGTATCTGGTACAATATCCTTGGCCGATGACGACTGATTATCATACAGGTAAACAAACCAAAGATGAGCATTAGTATAACACATCAAGTTCAACAGTATTTGCTTGTTTCTTCACAAGCATCGAGAACTGGAAGACAACGTCAAATTATGTTTGCAAACAGATTTTCCGACACTGTTCCGACCCACAGTCATTCAAACCATGTGACCGCGCACAAGGGCAATACGAGTGTACCTAATGGAACATTTTCGCGTGTCTGTCTGCATGTGTGTGTTCGTGTGTGCATTCGTGTGTGTGTGCGTGTGTGTGTACGCGCGCGCGCGCGCGTGTGTGTATGTGAGAGAGAGAGAGAGAGAGAGAGAGAGAGAGAGAGAGAGAGAGAGAGAGAGAGAGAGAGAGAGAGAGAGAGAGAGAGAGAGAGAGAGAGAGAGAGAGAGAGAGAGAGAGAGAGAGAGAGAGAGAGAGAGAGAGAGAGAGAAAGAGAGAGAGAGAGCAGATACAACATACTTTGCTGGATACTTGTGGTTCCATACGGAGCTTGGCTGATGCCTAAACAAGACAAAAAGCAAGGCATACAACTTAAAGGGGAAGTTAAGGCAAAAATCAAAATTTCACCAGTTGTAGTCTTCGGGGTGCCGAGTCGAATGGTCTTGGTCCGAGAAAGCTGAGACGCTCCCTTCCTACTTGAATCCCAAACGAACTCGTGCACTTCCACCGAAACTGGGTGACTGCGCCCTACTAGATGGGGATTTGTATGCAAAATGTCACTAAAAGCGCCATTTCGTTCTTATAAAAGCACGGATGACCGCGATTGGCCATGTGTAGTAGTCTTTTGGACGCTGAGTCGACTGGTTTTGGTCCGAAAAGGCTGCGATGCAGCGTTCCTCCTTTATTCCCAATCAAACATGGTTGAACAAGCGGTCACGTGCTCCTGTGTACACCAGTCACCTGGTCACCGTGCCTGCAGGGTACAACTTACTAGCCTGTTTGACCTTTTTTGGGTGCAGTCCTGTCACTCGAGTTGAACTCGAGTTGAATCTTGGTGTGAAAGTTGTCGCCTGCTGGCGTGGTGACCAGGTGATTTGGGCACCCAGGAGCACGTGACCGCTTGTTCAACCACGTTCGATTGGGAATAAGGGCCGAACGCTGCATCGCAGCCTTTTCGGACCAAAACCAGTCGACTCAGCGTCCAAAAGACTACAACATATGGGCCAATCGCGGTCATCCGTGCTTTTATAAGAACGAAATGGCGCTTTTAGTGACATTTCGCATACAGATCCCCATCTAGTAGGGCGCAGTCACCCAGTTTCGGTGGAAGTGCGCGAGTTCGATTGGGATTCAAGTAGGAAGGGAGCGTCTCAGCTTTCTCGGACCAAGACCATTCGACTCAGCACCCCGAAGACTACAACTGGTGAAATTTTGATTTTTGCCTTAACTTCCCCTTTAATTCAAAGATTCATTTATAATTCTTGTTTCATTCTTGAAGCACGTTCAATGTCGCAAAACATGGAAAGGGATTTTGAGTATTCCACATTGGTAACATGGATGAATTCAGCACATTGCAGATTCAGTGCCCCAGCATGGCTAACAAAGTTGAAGACAAAGCTGAGATCTGTTGATCATTCTCATAGTGTTTTCCAGGTGGCAAAGCGGGGTGGCATACCAAAACAACCTTCTCGGATGATTTACAAGACTATTTTGCTGTGTATGAGACAGATCCAAGTGTAATGAATGCCAAAGACGAAGGCCAGAATGGAAAATTCCACAATTCCAAGCCGGGTAAGAACTGGATAAGAAGTGAAGGCGCGGTAGGAGGAGGTTCACGATACGCAGGAAAGAGGCATCGCCGACTGGAACAGGCAGTCTTCGAGCAAAACACGTATCACTCTGCGTTACAGTCGCCCGTGCCGTCTCCCTAGATGCTACAGCGCTGGCCAAGGAAATCCAACCCCATGAATAGAATTGCGCCGGGCACTACGCAGCCCTAGCACTACACATACTCTTCTGTGCACTCGAACGCGGCGCTACTTTATTCATGAGGTTGGATTTCTCTGACCAGCACTTTACAACTCCTTGCTTGTCAGCAAGTGGACCGGCCCGGTTGTGAATACTCACATCCATTGCAGCTTTGCGCTGTGGAACGATGCTTGGTGCAATGCTTTTGGACTCGACTGGCACCTATACAGAGACATGCGAGTAGGGGCATACAATTACACGCATGCGCGTACACACACATGCATGTACACACGCACACGCACACACACACACACACACACATACACACAAATGGAAACCATTCCCCAGTAAGAGGGCGAGGACAGGGTGCAGAAAACGGATTTATGGCATTAGCATATCTGTCCTGGGATCCAATTGAAGCAAACCCTTTCCCAAATGAAGTTAAACTTGATACAACAGTTTAATACTGACAATTCGAACCTAGATTTTCCAGGGAGTAATTTTCATTATCCGAAACATAAGTTGAAGCATGAAAAAAAGTTCATTGGAGACATGATGCAATGACACACGTCAGGTTCTTCAAACTGTTGAAAGCGTTCCACAGGTACACTTTCAAGTCTTCTCTTCAGTTGGAATACAGGCAAGAGCAAACCGACACGAACAACAAATTAAGTGCAGCAACGAGGTGATAGGAGGATACGCGTGGATAAGTTGAAACCAAAATGTACAAAGAGAAAGGCAAGGAACATATGGATACGAGTTAAGAGTAATTGTCCACTGACTGTATATAGTATCTAGTAATTCTAGTTACATTGGACAGTTACTCTCAACTCGTATCCATAGTGTTCCTTTCCTTTCTCTATTTATTATCGGCTCAACATCCGAGTGTCAAAATGTTTGAAATATTTTATTCTCACGATGGCCTGTGGCCAATAAGAGAATGTTGTTGTTGACTTTTATTTTAAATGGATATCACAACAAACCAATTTGATGCCAAAGGACGCAACAAACCAATTTGCTTCACTTACAGATTTGGCATTGTTCGTAGGTGTCGCTCTCTTTGCAGCGGGGACATGAACGGACGTCTAATACCAAACAACGTAAGAACAAATGTAAAAGAAAAAAAGGAACGAAGAACCTTCAATACTGCACCACACCACAGATTCAAAAGCCGCTCCAGAAACACGGCCATGCATACGGCCACAAGCGTACATACCGTTGATCCGCCCCCACGCCATGTCGCTTGCCAGCTGGGTTTTCGGCAGGGGGCGGGAATTAGATCAAGGCTGTCAAGTGCAGTACGATGTACAACAACGTAGAGGATCAGACTCAATGTGCTGGATTGTGCACATTTTGATCCTGGATTGGCAAGTATTGTGTACAGCAGTGCATGCGTCGATTCAACATCGTATTTCGTTGTATACGCCAAAGTCGCTTCACAAGGAGAAAATCGACAGGGGGCGGGAATTAGAGACGGGGCGGATCAACGGTACTTTACGGTATACGCAGACACACACGCCCAATTGTAGACAGACAGACAGACAGACAGACAGACAGACACACTTACACTTACAAACAGACACAGGTACACACATACACACACACCAAGCACACCAGCAGCACAGCACAGACAGACAGACAAACACAACATCTCTGCACAACGGTAGAGTAAAATGACTGCAGATATATCAAGATGAAGGAGTATTCTCATCAAAGGCACTATAACCGTTCTACTCTTTATATGCCTGCAACAACTTACCTCCACTTCCTCTTGCTTTCGCTTCCGCTGTCGATTCTCCTGAAGACAGGGAGAAGAGAGCGAGAAGAGAGAGAAGAGAAGAGAAGAGAGAGAAGAGAGAGAAGAGAGAGAGGAGAGAGAGAGAGAGAGAGAGAGCACGGAGATGGAATGAAAACATTTACAGCCAGCAAGACCAGCAGATGCAATGAACAAAGAAGCACGGTGCCAGGGAATCAAAGCCACCAACGGCAGGAAATAAGGAGTATGTGCTCGTCAACAACGCATCTGCCCACTCGCACAAGCATTCGTTTAGTTACCTCGGCTGGAGCTTCCTCGGCGCGGTTTCGTCTTCGATCGGCATCCTGCATCACATGGCACAAACAACACAAAACCGTTATTCTCGATCTTTGCCTATGGTGGATGTATGATATCAGCTAGTGAGAATGTATGCGGGAGCCAGGTTCCAACAGCCTTACAATGCACAACAAGTTGCTTTGCGGGACCTCTAGGAGAGCAAGAGTTTGACAGGTTACCTACAGCCACCAAGATCATCAGCGACCAAGCAGTCTTCCAAATAAGGATCACGTTCACCCACAGCCACCCACGACCGCACACGCCGACACACACGCCGACACACACACACGCCGACACACACACACACACACACACACACACACACACACACACACACACACACACACAACAACAACAACAACAACAACAACAACAACAACAGCACACAAACACCAGCACACAAGATCATGAGACCGCCAACAGGAAAGCCGACATCAAGACTCACCCTATCAGAAGTGGCAGCTGACGCTGTAGCAGCTCCAGATGTTGCTGGTGCCGGTGCAGTTTGCACCCGTTGCAACTGACCAATCTGGAAGTTTCTTTTCTGCTCTGGGTCGGCACATCTGCACACAGATGGTTGGACAAATTTGCACAACACTATTATTTAAATAGGCGTCGAGGCGACAATAGTTTTAGAATTGCGATCAACAGAACGAGCTGAACCGACATTTCACAAAGGTAGGGGCTTTTATTGTATTCAAAAAACGAGTGGATACGAAGGCAGTGAAGAACATGGAAGAAAGAAAAAATGTGATATGGAGAAAATGATGAACAAAAAATCGTACTTCGAACTAGTTTTGCACAACACTCCTCAGGAAGCTACGTTGTACTAATGAAAAACAATCCAGAAAGATACTAATAAAGAGAAATGGAGTGAGAAGAAACAACACCTATGAAAATGATAATCCTAGCACTAAGGTAATAACAGGAAAAACTGCGAAAGCACTTAACGAACTTGTAAAGACTACTAGTATACTGTGACACAAGATATGACACCATGGCCAACCAGGGCCAAACAGACAGAACAAGCTGCTACTAGAACAATTTCAAACGAATAATGCTGTCCTTCTAGACACACAGATTAGGCTTATGAATACCTGAGCGAACGCATCAAGCAACACACTCCTTTACACATTATCCCACGTAGCGCACAACTGGAGCGTCCCACGCGGGGAAGACCCCGTAAACAACCACTACCTTCGCCAACACAGGACCTAGCGTCCCACTCGGCAAGTCCACCATTGGCTCCCGTGGCCATGACCAAGTCACTCCCTCCACCAGCGGAGGTGGATGTGGCTTTGGCGACGCCACGCGTGTTGCATGCAGACACGTTTGCGTCATCATCGCTTGCTGCATCCAGGGTTCGCAGCCAACCAAGCACACAAAATTCCAAACTTTTTCCAAACCAATTTCAAGAATTTCCAAACCCACTCGTGCAGGAAAAATAAATTATGAATCTCTTCTGCATGACTGTCTTCTCCACTACGAGTACAACCAGGGAGTAGTAAAATCCTCCCTGGTACCACTACCATCAACAAATTCACCAAGGTACATTGCAATGGCATCGCCTTCAGCAGCTAGAGCCCCCGAAAATAGCAAGGGAATTCATACGACGAGAGTAACTCAGTTCCCCTCCGTAAGTTCAAATCCGCCTCCAGAAGGGGTTCCAATGAAACATTTACATAGCTGGTGTTCGTCTCAGCGCAAAAGACGGCTTCATCCTCGCCAGCAAACTCATCTGAGTGCGAAAGGACCTCGCCATCCTGCTGTCCCGACTTCAAAGAATCAAAGTCGAGCGCGAGCGCCAGTAACGAAAAACGGCCAAATAAAAGTCATGAAACATTTACATAGCTGGTGTTCGTCTCAGCGCAAAAGACGGCTTCATCCTCGCCAGCAAACTCATCTGAGTGCGAAAGGACCTCGCCATCCTGCTGTCCCGACTTCAAAGAATCAAAGTCGAGCGCGAGCGCCAGTAACGAAAAACGGCCAAATAAAAGTCATCACCGGCCGCGCTTGAGCTGCACTGAAATGACTGTACGAGACTCGTACATCAGTGAACACCACACATCGCCAGCGCGTCTTCTATCGCGGAAGTCAAAACGGCCACTTGCACTGCAGGAGTGCAGCACATCCACGGCCAAAAACTCGAAATTCAAAACTTTTTCCAAACTATTCCAAAAGGAGCGCCTTTTCAAAACTTTTTCCAGACCTGGAAAATTGAATTATAAAATCCAAACTTTTTCCAGACTTCCAAACTTCGCTGCGAACCCTGTGCAGCATCACCGGCAGAGACGACAACAATACCTACCTCAATATCAACGAGACCCACAAGAACAACTGCGAATTACACCATGACCTATTTCAGTACGGAAGTACAGAGCCAACGGAATGCACAACAGGAGCGTGAGACAAGGGATGGGAGGAGACGGGACCTGATTGCTCCAAGGCAGGACGTCGTTGAGGAGGATTCGGCCAGTGAGTCCAGTGAGTCCGGTGAGTGTGAGAGCGAGAATGATTGTGTGAGTAAGAGTGGGTGCGAGCGTGTGTTTTCTAGTAGGAAGTCATCAGTGTATAAGCATCTTGTATCTCATCCTGATTGCTGCAAGGTGTATTCTGATTCTTCTTTTTCTGTTTTGTGCCGTGCTCGTCATGGTTATAAGTTGCAGTTGAGTGTGTTAGAAGCTGTTTGTCAACGTATTCATAAGCCTAATCTGTGTGTCCAGAAGGACAGCATTATTCGTTTGAAATTGTTCTAGTAGCAGCTTGTTCTGTCTGTTTGGCCCTGGTTGGCCATGGTGTCATATCTTGTGTCACAGTATACTAGTAGTCTTTACAAGTTCGTTAAGTGCTTTCGCAGTTTTTCCTGTTATTACCTTAGTGCTAGGATTATCATTTTCATAGGTGTTGTTTCTTCTCACTCCATTTCTCTTTATTAGTATCTTTCTGGATTGTTTTTCATTAGTACAACGTAGCTTCCTGAGGAGTGTTGTGCGAAAACTAGTTCGAAGTACGATTTTTTGTTCATCATTTTCTCCTTATCACATTTTTTCTTTCTTCCATGTTCTTCACTGCCTTCGTATCCACTCGTTTTTTTGAATACAATAAAAGCCTTTGTGAAATGTCGGTTCAGCTCGTTCTGTTGATCGCAATTCTAAAACACTATTATTAATTTTGTTATTATTTATTTCACCTTCCCATGGTAAAGAAATAGGGGCTAAGGCGTAGTGTGTGTGTGTGTGGGGGGGGGGGGAGGAGATAGACAGCCATGGAAAAAAAGAAGAACACTTCAGTAGACGATTACAACAGGAATAGACTTGCGCTGCAATAGGCATACGGAAGCAAGGTGGAATGTGGAAGTGGGTATAGTATACATACCATGCAATGCGAAGGAAATAAGACTGGCATGGCATTGCAGACGGACACATGGCTAACAGATACAGGCAGGCAGTCATAGACGGACAGACAGACAGACAGACAGAGACAGACAGACAGAGACAGACGGACAGACGGACAGAGACAGACAGACAGAGACAGACAGACAGAGACAGACAGACAGAGACAGACAGACAGAGACAGACAGACAGAGACAGACAGACAGAGACAGACAGAGACAGACAGAGACAGACAGACAGAAACACACCCACACCATGTACCATACACACCCACCCACACACCCACGCATGCACACATACACACACACATACACATGTAAACAAAACAAGGAACAACGCACGCTCCTCCTCATCAGCGCCTCCCACTCTGATGGCTACAACTCACTTTTTGATACCGTCACCCATGTTCATGCTGCATGTCCAGTTGCTGGGAATGTCCCTTGTGGGTTCCTTGACGTTGTAGGGGATTTCCCTCCATTTGCCGCACACATCACACTGCATCCAGTCTGGCAGTTTCATGTTGCGACGGCGCTTGAACCTCTCGTCCGGGTGCGGGGAAAGCACGGCAGGCGAGTCGTAGCCAAAATGCTCCCTTGTGACACGGCCAGAGCGGGGGCAAGAAAGAAATGGAAGCAAGCAAACATGAAGGCCGGGACGAACTAACGGTGCTGCAAAACCATGCTAAGTGAGATGAAGCACTCAGAACGGAAATGCTCGCGCCGCTCGGAAGATATAGACATGAAAATGCATTCGGACAACCTGGAACAGTACTGCAACCTACTGAGCCAGTCCTGCATTGTAAATCAGTGTGCTGATTTGGCACGCAAAAGAGGCTGCTCAGCACATTGAGTGACATCCATACACCAGAGGATGTACCTGGTGTGATGACAGTGCTCAATACCGCGGAGGCAGAGCGTCAAGGGCGATTCACAATACAACTTTCTGCGACGCGACACGCGATTTGCGACAAGAAACTGCCTGTCGCGAGGCACCTGTCGCAGAAGTTGAAGAAAGTTCAACTTTTGCGACATGCGACACGCGACATACACAAATGGAGTACAGTTTCCAACCTGGGTGCACGTGCAGTGCACGTGCATAGTACTACTTGTGCATGAGAATGTCGCAAACATGAAGAATATTGTGAACCGTGTGTCGCTGTCGCAGCTCCGTCGCAAGTCGCATGTCGCATGTCGCGTCGCAAGAAGTTGTATTGTGAATTGGCCTTAATACTTCTGTTCTGAATGACTTCCATACAAAAATAAACAAAAAGTGTGTCTTTTCAATTTTGGTCGGACTCGTAGGAAAATGTTAAATAGTGATATACTCATTAAAAAGTGATAATTATCATGCACAGGCTGAAGGTCGAAGACAGTATTACAATTGCAGAAACTCAGAATCAGCAGCATACTATAATTGAGACTATCACTCTCTCTATGTGCCTTGAAGAACAGCAATTTCGCATTTTCTGAAAACAGTTCTAGGCCCCAAAGGGCCAATGTACTTCGAAAGTAGCCTTATCTAACAGTACATTCTATGCGGCACAGCCGTTTGTCATGCCTAGTAATAGTGACAATATCCAATAAAATGAATGAGAGTAGGGCATGACTATGATTGTCATTCGTGTTAATGAAGGAATAATATTCATTCGTTCGTTAAGCCAAAGAATATCCGGCTACTGGGTTTTGATATTCGTTTCACCAGTAAGGCCCTCTTGAGACTAGGTACAAAATAGCCTATAAGTCACATTTAAGTAAACAGTTTCCTCTGAGACAAAAATGCGATAATACTCATAAAAAGGACACACTTCAGGCTCATTACAAACATCTTGAAAGTTTTTGTCTTCACAAGTATACTTTCAAGCCTTCTCGTCAGGTGAAATACAGGCAAGGGAAAAGGAACAGGAACAGTGGATTAAATACAGTAAGAAGGTGGTAAAACAGCGCAAAAAAGAAGATAGCTGAAGTAGACAGCGAAAATTGCAATAATGACACAAAGGTGCAAGGGCGAGAAAACTCAATAAGCGTGACATGTAGTGCGACAACAAGAGACAACCACTGGACATACATGTAACTAACGAGGTTTTGACGACCTACCTAACAGCCTAAGTGTGCGTAGAGTCCACTCGACTAGCCATGTGATATCGGATGTGTCCACCGCACATGCTGATTGTTCTGATGTTAGTTCTGATAAGTATGAGTCGTCCATTGCTAGTCATTTGTTTGAGCATCCTGATTGTCGTGCCGTGTATTCAGATGATTGTTCTTCGATTGTGTCACGTGTACGCAGTGCTAGATTGCTGAATGTTTTGGAAGCCGTATACAACTTTCACACCAAGGTTCAACTCGAGTTCAACTCGAGTGACAGGACTGCACCCAAAAAAGCTCAAACAGGCTAGTAAGTTGTACCCTGCAGGCACGGTGACCAGGTGACTGGTGTACGCAGGAGCACGTGACCGCTTGTTCAAGCATGTTCGATTGGGAATAAAGGAGGAACGCTGCATCGCAGCCTTTTCGGACCAAAACCAGTCGACTCAGCGTCCAAAAGACTACAACATATGGGCCAATTGCGGTAATCCGTGCTTTTATAAGAACGAAATGACGCTTTTAGTGACATTTTGCATACAAATCCTCATCTAGTAGGGCGCAGTCACCCAGTTTCGGTGGAAGTGCGCGAGTTCGATTGGGATTCAAGTAGGAAGGGAGCGTCTCAGCTTTCTCGGACCAAGACCATTTGACTCAGCACCCCGAAGACTACAACTGGTGAAATTTTGATTTTTGCCTTACCTTCCCCTTTAAGAGGTTATGCGATAACGTCAAATCCGCCATATATAGGAGCCAGTTGGGGTGGCAAAATGCCCAAAGCGGGCACAGAAACCCCTTATATACATGTAGAAGAATTTGGGGTGCCAAACGTACTATATGACGTGTGTCGCATAACTTCCGGTATATTGCTTTAACCGTCAACCCTACAGCCAATCTCTACCTGTATGCACTCCACTGCAGCATGACAATTACAGCAGGTGTGGCAGAACCAATTCAAAATGATTTCCTTAAGACTTTTCTCACCACGTCTCTCGAGCCTTCACCGGCTTCATGTCGAAGCCGCAGTCTCTCCAGAACTGGGCCAGATGGTCGGCCAGGGCCTTGAGCAGGAGGCGATACTCTTTGGCATCGGCAAAGTCCTGCTTGTTGTGTGTGGGCTCCAGCACCAGGTAGGGCACGTTGACCAGGCCAATGATGCCATTCATGTCCCTGCGGGAAACACACAAGGAGAGTACAGTAAAACCTGTAACTAAAGACCACCGTGACTAGCGACTTGTAACTAAAGACCACCGTGACTAGCGACCAGCCTGGTACTACAGTAAAACCTGTAACTAAAGACCACCATGACTAGCGACCAGCCTGGTACTACAGTAAAACCTGTAACTAAAGACCACCGTGACTAGCGACCAGCCTGGTACTACAGTAAAACCTGTAACTAAAGACCACCGTGACTAGCGACTTGTAACTAAAGACCACCGTGACTAGCGACCAGCCTGGTACTACAGTAAAACCTGTAATTAAAGACCACCGTGACTAGCGACCAGCCTGGTACTACAGTAAAACCTGTAACTAAAGACCACCATGACTAGCGACCAGCCTGGTACTACAGTAAAAACTGTAACTAAAGACCACCGTGACTAGCGACCAGCCTGGTACTACAGTAAAAACTGTAACTAAAGACCACCGTGACTAGCGACCAGCCTGGTACTACAGTAAAACTTGTAACTAAAGACCACCGTGATTAGCGACCAGCCTGGTACTACAGTAAAACTTGTAACTAAAGACCACCGTGATTAGCGACCAGCCTGGTACTACAGACCATTGCGCCAGGCACGGACGGTCTCACATTCATATTATGTGGTTGTGCTGTGCAAACCTCTAACTAAGGACCACCTGCCACCAAAGACCGCTTTCTCTGGCCCCAGGGGGTGGTCGTTAGTCACAGGCTTTACTGTAGTCGGAAACTGACGATGACAAAGCCCTTCAAAAAAAATATAAGGACATACCGTACTTCCGCATATATAAGCGCATGTACGTATGTCTGAACTTAAGCACGTGATTTTTCGTGATTTTCGTTCTCTTAGAAGATCATACATAGTCTTCTAACCAGAGGTGGTCTTGTAGTTTCAGTTTAGATTTATTCCAAGCAATACATGGCTGGGGCAACCAATAACCACTCTGCGTGCATTCGATCGCATTCGAATATAACACCATGGTCTTACACACTTGAGAGGAACCAAAAGCGTTTCTGCTGTAACTCTGAGTTCCACCATGGTCACCATGCTCTTATACGCGCGAGGTTACGGTAGTGAAGATGAACAGTAGAACAGTTTAAATGACGTATGCAGCAGCAAAGAGACCGTATTTGGAGTGTTTGAGTTGAGGTACCCTAGTGTGTAAATAGAGAGGTTCCGCAATACGTAAAGTTGAGCAACTTTACGTTAGTGGGCGGGAAAAACACGTGAATTCGCGAGTTTGCACTCCACTTATGGAAAGTTGTCTATGGAGAGTACGTAGATAGGGCTCTGATAACGTAGCTGGTCCGTAAGTGGATTGGGGTACAAATTTATGACTCTCTCCCCAGGTCGATCTGATCGTACACTGCCGCGTTCGGAGTTGCCAAGGGCAGCTACGTGATTTGAAAACTCCGTATGGCGGAACCCAGATGCGCATGCAGTTTACGTAAGACTTTCCGTAGATCGACTACGTTTTTTACTAACGTAATTACGTTATGCGGAACCTCTCTAATGGCTACAGTGGCGTCCGCGAGTGGCTAGAAAAGAAGATGAAGTTCCTAGATCTAAGAGGATATCGTTGTGAACTCACCCTGCATTCACACATCCACCCATATTGTCGGCAATCTGCCCTCCTCTGCACAATTTGATTGTGATTCAAGACCAGTGCGACATGATAGTGACACGTCAGTTGTTGTCAGGGAGGCGAGAGAGACAGAAACCACCAGTGACGTTGAATTTCCCGTTGGCAAGACGATGATGTTGAATTTACCGTTGGCAAGACGATGCCAGTGACGTTGAATTTATCGTTGGCAAGACGATGTTGAATTTACCGTTGGCAAGACGATGCCAGTGACGTTGAATTTACCGTTGGCAAGACGATGATGTTGAATTTACCGTTGGCAAGACGATGCCAGTGACATAGGTTGCATTGGCCGTTGACAAGACAATGAAGTTGCAAATGACGGCGCGACAGTGGCATGAGGCAGATGAAAGGCAATGTGACATTCACAAACCACACCAATAAACGGACACAATAGTCTCGTCTCTTCTCACCCTCTCCCTTCTTCCCAACCCAACCCCACACCAACCCCTCTCACTAACTCACTGTCCACAAGTAAACCACAACACACATCAACAACAATGCATTTACCAATGGGAAGTTGACGAAGACGGTGACAAATGACGGCATGGCAGTGGTGGATGACATACAATTTTTACTAGTGTATGCAAACACCAAACCCAACAATCTAGTCCATAAAACATACACCAATGCTTCAACAATACAGAGACATGGCCTGTCAATGGGCCAAGCCACACAAAAGGAGCCAGGCTACGTACAGTGCAGTGTGCCAGGGGAGAGCTCTTGTCACTTACCGTGCACCCAGAGCTTGCCCTCCCACGTACTCATACATCTTGATCAGCCTACGCACAGCACAAAATAGTGCAGGACAGAGGAGCAAAGAAACATACAGGTCATATGCAGGTTTGGCCATACTGTAAAAGCAGAAATTTTCGGTATTCTCCAAAACCGGGGGTTCGGTGGAGGGAAATTTTCGGTGCGCCTTGGCCTAACTCGCTCCTAAACACCATAGCAGTTCAAAGTAAAAAAATTTAAACTCCCGCCATATTGCTCCTGAACTCCAGATCTCCTTTTGTGTCGCAGTGTGTGTGTGTCGCAGGATTGGGTTCACTTATATTTTAGTGGTGTACACGGGTAGTCGGGTACCCGTGCTACCCGTGAGGACCTCGGGTAGACGGGTACTGAATCGTACCCGAAAACCCGAAGTCGCAGATGACATCATGTAGAAAGAGAGAGAGAGAGAGAGAGAGAGAGAGAGAGAGAGAGAGAGAGAGAGAGAGAGAGAGAGAGAGAGAGAGAGAGAGAGAGAGAGAGAGAGAGAGAGAGAGAGAGAGAGAGAGAGGTCTACAGTGCACGTGTACACATAACTCACGCAGTGTGTAAGGGAAGGGGCCGGTGTGCATTGTGGTCTTACCATGGAAACATTACCCCATCGGGTACCCGTGCTACCCGTGGAAAACTACCTGGACCCGATACCCGAAGAAAATGCTACCCGACTCAGCCCTACTTATATTATAACATTATAACGTTAGGTCCATGCGATTACAGGTGAGGGTGCGCTTTTATGCACATCATCACAGTACGTACACGGACACCGTATCCGTACACTTTCCAGCACTAACCGGCTGCAGTTGTAGACGAAGATTCCGTCTTGAGAGCGGTTGCCGATGTTCAAGCCAAATACCATGTCCAGTGTCTTGGGCTGGTGGGTCGACCTAAGTCAAACAGCAAGCCACCATCAGAACATGCCGTACAAGCTCACGTGACATACAGAACAAACCCCAGCATGATGACTATTCACACTTCAGATGCAATCTCTTCATGGGAGCGTATCTGAAACCCTGTTGGGGATAAAGAATACCATACCATACCATAGCTGGCTGCCAGGCTGGTCATGCATTGTAAAGTTTCTACATCCACCGGGATCGCTTCACAATGAGCAACCGAATAGGGCCAATGCCCACACACAACTTCAATTCCGTACGAAATTTCATTTCAAACAGGCAACCGGCAAGTCCTAGACAAAGGCACCGAACTCAAACGCCCGCTTGCGTACTTTTCCATTGCCTCGGCGATGGCTTTCCGGTCCTTGGCCTCTTCGCTAGCACGTGCCGCCTGCGCCTGTGCATTGCGGACGGATACCTGTAGGGTGAGGAGAGCAACAGGCGGAGAGAGGTAGCATATAGGGTGAGGAGAGAAACAGCCAGAGACAGGTAGCATGTACGGTGAGGAGAGAAACTGCCAGAGAGAGGTAGCATGTAGGGTAAGGAGAGAAACAGCCAGAGACAGGTAGCATGTAGGGTGAGGAGAGAAACAGCCAGAGACAGGTAGCATGTAGGGTGAGGAGAGAAACAGCCAGAGACAGGTAGCATGTAGGGTGAGGAGAGAAACAGCCAGAGACAGGTAGCATGTAGGGTGAGGAGAGAAACAGCCAGAGACAGGTAGCATGTAGGATGAGGAGAGAAACAGCCAGAGACAGGTAGCATGTAGGGTGAGGAGAGAAACAGCCAGAGAGACAGGCAGCATGTCGGGTGAGGAGAGGAACGGGCAGAGAGACACAGCATGTCGGGTGAGGAGAGCAACAGGCAGAGAGAGAGAGAGGCAGCAGCACCAGTGGGTGGGATCATTTCACACGATAGGTACACCGAGCGCAAAGGAGGTGGTGCGGAACGAGATGAGGGCCATGTGCACGGTGCGGTGAGCACTGGTGTGCATCCACTGCTCTCTCATTCGCGTAGAGTTTACAGTGTACAGTGGACTCCTGATATAACAAACACCACTGCGCAGGAGAACTAGTTCTTTATAGCCGAAGTTCGTTATAACAGAAATGAACCTACACTGTCAGTTCAAACTGGGACATGGACAATTGTTCGCTCTATCACGAAATTCGCTATATCGTTATAAGTGGAGTCGACTGTACGTCGTTGCATTACTTACCCGTCCTTCTCGGGATGTACCCTGCCTGCTTTCCGTATCCCTTGCCGTTGACTCTGCTTCACGTGCTGCCTCCTCCGCTGTGTAAGCACAAAGCAAGCACGGGAAAGAAGACAGACACACTTCAAGAGAAACACTTACACACACACACAAACGTTGACACGTACACATGTTTACACTGACACACATACACTTTCACGCCTTCACACTTACACACCTACCCACACACACGCACCCACCCACACACACACACACACCTACACACACCTGCACACACACACACGCGCGCACAGGCACGTACACACACACACACACACCTACACACTTACACACACCAAAACAGACAGATTTCAAGAAAAAGCGGGGACACCGACGACGAAATACAGACCCGCAAGAGAAGGCATCACAATTCCTTATACAGGTCCTCCCTCGTTATAACAAGTCCGGTTAGTACATAAACCCCGTTAGTAGATAGAAATCTGAAATCCCCTGGCGAAACGTGGTCTATACAACTGTTTACAAGTCCGGTTACAACATAATCCGTTTAGTACAAAAAATCCGTTATAACGACCCTTTGCCCAGGTCCCTGGAGTGCCAAACCCTCAGTATAAAATAATATTGACCATGCAGGACCAAGGCCAAAACACGTAGGATAAAGCAGAAAAAGGAAACGTATTATGTCTATGTATTCGTGAATATGGACGATCCTTTGGATCCAAGGAAGAGTTTTGTTGGAGATTTTCAATTATCTTATAACGAGTTGAAGCATCGAAAATTTATGTTGTATCGAGGGTAGCCCCGGTAAGTACGAAGTAGTGCCTATTTTACCTTTAGCTGCAAGTCCTGCTACAAGATAAGTCTCGTTATAAGATAACTTTTTCGATGGCCCAGAGATTATCTACTAACGAGGGAGGACCTGTACTAGTAGACCGATAGCAGTAGGTCTAAAAGCCTGCACATAAACACAGTCCAAGAAATCAGAAACTACGACGCACCCATCTTGGCTAGCTCCTTGGCCTTCTTGACCTCATTGTCCATCCGCCTCTTGAAACGCTTGGTTGTGTAGTGGTAGAGCCTGCCGTTGTAAACTTGATCTTGCAGGCGTTTTGTACGCACTTTGACATTCTGTTGCACAGAGATTAGAATCGAGAAAGAGACGAGAAGAAGAGTACAGCGATCAGTAGACATTGATGAGATATCGCAGAAAACACGAAGTAAAAGACTCAAGAGAAACTTGATAGGAAATGTTCAAAAAATCTGGATGCAGCTTATACTTCAGTGGGGGTCATAGCAAGAGTGCATAACCCCCCAGAGTGTGCAACGCCTGATCCAGCTCTGCATAGGGTCTTGGTCGAGCGTAATCGGATCTTCTGATGCCATGCGTACACTCTACACCAGCGCAAGGCCGGTCTCGAGGCAGGGCACCATTGTTTTTGATCCTAGAGTACCCGCGACTCCCCCGGGTTCCCATCAGATGTGTACGGTATTATGACGCAAAGATCCGATTACGCTCGACCAAGACCATATGCAGAGCTGGATCAGGCGTTGCACACTCTGGGGGGTTATGCACTACTGGTCATAGCAAGAGTCCATAAACCAGAGTGTGCAACTCGGGATGGTTCCTGTGGGAGCGTAATTCGTGCACTATGTCATTTCTGACAGCATGGTAAGCCAGAGTACAGGTACGGTGAAAAGTTGCGTAACCAGTCGCGGTGGTGCAGGTCACTGATTTGTCCCGATTTCGGTTTTTTGATACGGATAGCCTGGTGACTTTACTTGTCGGTGGATGTACACAGTCACACAAAACACCGAAATCCTGAAACAGGACCGTCTAAAATCAAGCAAACTTGGCTGATTTCCGGGCTACGAAACATGACAATTATTATTTGAGCTGTGCGCAAGTCGCGGCTTGGCTGACCTCATCAGGGTGACGTAGTGCACGAACTGCGCTGTTTCAGATCTGATATGCACAGTTGCACACTCTGGTTTATGTACTCTTGGTCATAGTTATACTCTGAAAACCACAGTACAGTCAGCATTGCGTATAACGACACTCCGCGGGGCATCAGAATAGTGTCCTTATTCGCAAAGTGTCCTTGTACCCGAAGTCTCATTATTATAGTTACATAGGACTTTGCTCTGGCATGGAAATTCTGTCGTTATTCGCGAATTGTGGTTATATCCGCAGTCGCTACAAGCGAAGTTGACTGAACGCAGTACTTGGTTTGACGTGCAGTCTTTGCTCGTTAGATTCAATTCGCAGCGTTTCACCCTGATTGCGGGCCATGTTCAAACTGCAATGGATTACGAGTACAGTCAGTATCGCCTATAGCGTTGGTGTTTGATTTTGAGCATTTTATCACTATAAGCGATATATTACTATGACCGATACTGCATGCAATGTATGCGAGTGGGGTGTCAAACGACTCAGCGCGCCGTGCACATACGCACTACATACATATACAATGTCATGTAGCTGGCTGTAGCTCCCGACACACAAAATCAGCATTTCCTCATGATGGAGGCATATTTTGGCAACTTGTTCGAGCAAAACTCACCAAACAACACTCACTGGACAAGTTCTTCACGAAGAAGTAACACCCTGTTCTCCTCTGACATCGCTTGATTTTACATCAATCACTATAACCGATGCAAAAATAATGTAATAAAGGTCTTTTGAAATATGAAATTGATCACTATAGGCGATATATTACTATAGGCGATTATTACTATACGCGATAACTGTGTATACTTAGTTATGGCAAATGAAAATGAATTTGAGCCATTGATCACTATATCCGGTATATTACTATAGCCGCCAACCTTATAGGCGATACGAACTGTACTAAGTTTCAAGGCAAAGAGACTATTCGGTGGCGTGATTGTCGAAGGACCACTTCCGTTGATCAGATTTTTTCGTTCTTTTCTCTCGTCTGTGCCATTCTGTTGCCTCCCTGTAGTGCCCTCTGGGACATCGGACCCAGTTTTTTTGTGATTTTACCGGCATAATGTGCCGCCATTTTGGCCGCTACTTTCAACGACACCAGTAAGCGACCGACCAGCTAGTATGTATTTCCATTTCATGTATTTATTCACCGGCCACTGGAACCCGCCGTCATTAATGACTCGTGCAAGGCCGTGCTGCGACATGATGTCTCTTCATCATGCATATGAGATGGTGGCGCTCGCACTCTGAAGGGCGGCGTATTCATTTCGAAAGGGGGCGGTCAAAAAGTGAAGGAGGGCGCAGCGCTCCGCTATGTCGCTTACGCGAGAACCCTGTACACCATACGGTCTGGTTGAGATTTCCGCTTACTGTAAAACATGCAATTTGCGGTGTAACTTTAATTTCGGTGATTTCGGTAGAGAAACCAGGCATGCCCTGATGATGCCCAATGGGCGAAATACAGTAAAACCTGGTGTAAGCGACCTCTGGGTTTAGCAACCACCTGCTCTTAACGACCGTTTTTCCATGCACCGACAGTTCTACACAGACACTGTGGGACCTGGTTCTAAAGACCATCTGGTTTTAACGACCGCTTTGGTGGTCGCTTAACCAGGTTTTACTGTATTGGCAAAGTTCATTATTTATCTATTTGGTGCAGCTGAGAGCCTGTTGCCGGAATGGCGGTATTTTCAAGTGCAAGAAACCAGGCACCTAAATTTAAGTTACGCCTGAAAGGGACTAGAGTATGCAATGTATGTACATGTAAAGGGAACGCCGGTCACCTAATTCTAGATTACACCTGAAACCTGGCAGGTCCCTGGCACCGAAAATTTTAATGCACCTTAAATTACATGTTTTACAGTACCTGGATATAGATCTTCATCTTGGGATCAAAGTAGAGAATGGAGGAGTAGGCACGGAATGATCGCCTCTCTGGCTTCATGCTTGCCTCCGTTTCGGAATAGAGCGGGTCACGGGAATCCATCAGGATATCGTCGAACTTCGTTGAAAACTACCGTACAGACAAAGGGAGAGAGAGAGGAGAGAGAGGGAGAGAGAGAGGAGAGAGAGAGAGGAGAGAGAGATAGAGATAGAGAGAGAGAGTGAGTGAGAGAGAGCGAGAGACAGAGAGAGAAATGAGTAAAAATACAGAAAATTAAATACCATAAGTACTAGTACCGTAAAATCCCGCCAGAGCGCCCCTACCTCCTCGACGCTTCGGGTGGGGAGGGGCGGATGGGCGAGTCCTACTTGCCGCATTCAGTACTGTACATGAACAAGTACTCACCCTACGAAAACTGTTCGTGCATCTCGTACACCCACCAAAGGTCAAGAGCCAGGAGTCGTACAGACCCGTCAAAACTCAGGTTTTGTGCGATCCCTGGTCAAGAGGGTGGGCACTGTTGCGTACATTTCCAATGGGGTCGAGCACGCGTCTGCAGAACAGTACGGCATCACAGACTGTGACAGAGTCATACGAGGATACAATCAATCACGTCCCTGACAAGAAGTCAGGGAGGGGCGGATGGGAGAGACGGGGCGCTCTGGCGGGATTTTACGGTATGTCTGCCGTAGGAATAACAAACGGGGCAGGTCAGGACATGCAAGAACTTGCAAGCATGCGTGCATGCTATCGCATCCGCAGGTACATTTGCTTTGACTTGTGTGGTGGCAACGCCATAATCGCCTACTGCAATGTACATATAAGGTCTGTAAAGAGGTGGTGGTGGTGGTGGTGGCGGCGGTGATCGCTTGAACACTGAACTACAAAATATATTATTCACACATATCCGCCGGATGAGTACGCGTGACCTGTGCAACCCACGAATACAAACCAGCATACCAGCATATACGACAAAGTATGGTTCAGTGTATTTGGGGAGGGGGGAGGAGGGGGACAGCTAAAACAAGGTCCAGACACTGCTACCACTCACATCAAGCTCGGTCTGGCCGGAGTCGCCAAGTCGCAAGTTGTAGATCATAACCAGCGTGCCTGTAAGCAAAGAACGAAGAAATTTGTGACTAAATTAGGCAAATGGGTACTCGTATGGGGCCGTCCAAGGTTACCAATAGTATTTTTCGTATTGAAAGAGACATGCCCTTATATCCGGAGTATTTCTTTCCCGGCGAAATGGAAAAAAAGCATTTTTCGGATATAAGGGCATGCACTTGTATGTGGGTGAATACGGTACTGTACAAGCAGAAATATTCGTCTGGAATTTAATTTCGTCTTTTTCGTCCAAGGAGCTTTTGGACTAAATTAAGTACCGGACTAATGTCGATTTGTCCAGCTTTTCACTACACACTTCTTATCCATGGACGAAATTTTCAACCGGACGAACTCCCTTTCTTTGGAGTTGGACGAAATTATTCATTGACGAAATGTTCTGCCTCTACAGTATACAGATACTATGCACACTGTTGGACAGGTGATGTGTGACGTGACTGTACCAAGCACTTGGCAGGTAATGCAGGCAAGAGGACCTGGAGAATGTGGTACTTTTCTGGCACGCGTCATGCAAGTTCGACATGCAGATGAGGACGAGGTGGAGAATTCAAGGAATTGCCTGCCGTCATCTTCATTCATTTAGATTTTATTTGAATAATTCTCCGAAAATAAATGGAGGCTTATCAAGTATCAGGGAAGTTTCCTGGAAGGGTGGATGGGCTTGTATGGTTCTGCCGATGCCAACGCTGTTGAGCAGAATCTGCAAAGGTCTAGCTGCACTTCTAGAAGATCGGCTAAACGAATATCCCGAGCACATCCGCTAGCTTTGCTTGAGTACATATGATGTTGTTTATTCACCTGTAAATCACCATTCGATGTAGGTTCACTGATGACCATCGAAAGAAAAACATTTCACATTTTATACATTTTTTGCATCACATGGCATTTAATATGTTGGCATCATTTGTTCTATTTATCGCATTGTTAACCCTTTAAGAGCCGCCCCATACTTGAATGCGTCGTAAACGACGCATTCAAATGCAAAACTTCAAAAGATCGTAACTCAGTCCAATCTCGCTCAAATCCAGTGATCGAAATATCCAGGGCGAAGAGAAATCTCTCACCTGTCGGGAGAAACAATCCGCGAAGCGCTGCGAGCAACGGTTCCTGAGATAAATCACTCGTAAGTTGAGCCGCGATCGCGGCAATTTCAAAAGCGCGCAGTGCGACTTTAGTATTGAGAATTTTGAGACTTTTCGTCAAGTTGGCTTACTCGAATTTGCACGGGTTTCACTGTTGATATTGTCAAGAGTACACAACGAAAAAATTGGAACTCCACGATCGAGTAAAATGAAATATCTGGAGCGGGACGCAATTGGACGCATTTGGGGCATTTTTCGTACTGTCGCTGCGATCTAGCGCTGGATAGACGGTGTGCTGGCTATCATGATCGACCTCATTCTCTTCCTCTCGCGGAGACCTTTCCAGGAAGCCCTAGATTGTGAGGATTGAGTGGGTAGAACTGAAGCTATGATCCAAAGAACACGAAAAAATGCACAATTTTGAAAATTTCCTGTGGCTCTTAAAGGGTTAAAACATCCGTTAGAAACTAACCATTTCCAACAATCTTGTCAAACTGCCCCATGATGTCTTCCATGGTTTTGAAAGGCGAAAACCGCTGAATCAAATTGACCTCGATCTTGTGCTGAGCAGAAGAAAAGAAAGCACACACACGCACACAGACACACACACACACGGACACCACAGAAAGCCTTGTAGCGTACAACCATAATAAAAGAACCAGAGGATTCCACAGCTATGACGGCAACGTGTCAAGATACAGTCAGTCGAGTCTCAGTTGTCCAAACCATCTTGGGACCAGCCCCGGTTTGGACAAGTAACTTCCAAGCTTGTCGGAGTAGTTGATTGTAGCCACTAGTACCGGTAGTCATAAAAATGATGTGAAGAGTTTAGATACAGATCATGACAAGCGGCAAATGTGAGATATTGGGACTTTAAGTTCAGTGTGATCAAAAAGTCTAGGCGACCTTCAAGCAAAATTTCACACTCAAAATCAAACAAAAAACCACTTCAAACAAAACTGGTATCCACACACGGATTTAGATGAAACCAGACATAAGAATTCATGGTCCGAAAAGTGATAAAATGGATCTCGTCCTGCACCTTAACTCTTCATAATTATGGTCTTTCCAATTTCATCAAATTTTGCCCATAGGCCATTGTCAAAATGAAACAATCAAACTAACAGCGAACGGCCGAGAAATACAGTCGCACACGAAAGAAAAGTTGGTTCGAAAGAGCTCGTTTAATTCTGCTACATGTCTGTCGAATACTGGTTGAAATGTTCCACCCTTTGTTCCTTGAAACTGATGAACAGTGGAATATCGGGCAAAGGTTTGTTTAATGGGAAGTTTGCCACAATAGGTCTTTCGCAGTGAATTCATCAGGCGCCAAGGGGTTGATATCGTATTGTTCAGGGCACGATCTACAAGTGATCAAGATGAAAAGAGCAAGAAGCGCGCACCGCCAACAAGGACCCTGTCATTATCCTAACATATTGCTTTCTTGAATGTTTCCCCAGCCTTCTCATCAGAGACAATACAGGTAAATGAACAATAGTGAATAACAATCACAAAATTAATACGAGTGCAATAGGTGACAGAAGATTACTAAGGGTGAGAGCGAGGTAAAAAGCTAATCAAAGTGTTAGAAATAGAAGCAGGAGACAAAAAGAAAGTGAAATTTATATCCCAAAAAACACCACTTTACGGATGGCCCCTAAGGGGTCGTCCATAGATAACCGAACTTTTGCACAAAACGAAATAATTTCGCTACGGGGGTGGAGGGGGTTGAGCAATTTTGTCTCAGAAAATATTGATACAGGTACATGGCCGTAGGAGCAGTGACACTCTTGCGACTTTTGTTGTATACGCATGTAGAGGTCAACATTTCGTACGTTCTGAGAGGGAAGGAGGGGTTGGGTCTAAACTAAAATAATTCGTTTGGTGAAAAAAGTTCGATATTTACGGACGACTCCTAACTGTTAGGGACCGTTGAAGGTCACCAATTGTTGTTTTTACATGTATTTCAAAATGAAAAGTTTTCGTTCGGGGGGGGGGGGGGGGGGGGTTCAGGAGTCTCGTTTTGAACATGTTCATTGAATGGACATGGAGAATGACCAGTTACTGCTGGGTACCGAATACGAAAACAATACTTTGTTGAAATTCACCTCCTTATCGTAGCTGCACAGTGCACATTCAATGTCTTGTCGTCATGACGATTGGCAGGAATGAACAATATTTGTCTTTCGACTATTCAGGATTAGGTTGCGCTCACCAAGCCAGTTGCCGAGATGGGTGATGGCTGAAGACAGGTTGTGTGACAGCACTACATTGTCCTTCCTGCTATCGTGTATTCCCCCAGACACACACGTTGTACTGTGTGCTCAAAGGACATTCAAAATGAGGTCCCCGAGTACAGTTGGCATCTGTATCCATCCAGGGCTATTCGACTGAAAACAAAATCCCTTTTATACGAGTGGTCCTCTGGGACAGGTGGTCGCCTTATCAGCGTGACCACATTGACAGGTTCTTCACTGTGTATGAAATGAACTCTCCATCCGGGGGCCATTTAACAGGAAACAAAATCCGAAGAGAAACCGGATGGGCACAAAGAGAATCTTCCGAAATGCATACAAAATATGAAGAATGTGCAGAATGAAGCGAAGAGAAAATAAAATCCAAAGGGGCAAAGACAATGGGGCAGCAAAGGCCTTGCTGAAATTTGTGAAATTGCGCTTCTACATGACTGCTGCAATGGATTTCTGGGCAGCTAGCAGTTTCGACCTTGCTAGGTCTTACTAGCGGAGTTCAGAGTCACTGGTTGCGCCGATCGCGATGAAGCCTAACGAACAAGAAAGCAATTTCGAATCGGCTCAAAGCATCCACAAGCTCCAACTGCGAGTAACACAGCGAGCTTTTTATGAAAGCAGACGCTAACCAGAAAGAGAGCTCAACCAATCCAAAGCAAGGGAGCGTAATATTGAAATAAAACTAAAGATTTGTGTAGAGCGGAGAACGGCCTAGAATGCGGGCATTTTGCACCGCTAAGCTGCAGTCAAATAAAGAAAAAAATATCGAATATCGATATTCACTCGCAGTGCCAATCAAAAGTCCGAACCGAGTGAGCCAAAATTTGCAGCAACATATTGAGGAGGAAGCTCATGGAAATTTGGATTGCGGCTAAATCTCATGATATGGGAGACAACTCAGGTTAAATTCCCGTAAATGGGGGGGGGGGGGGGGGGGGGGGATAATTAGAGGGCAAGATTCATTTACGGCCAGATTTAGAATTCTAGAACTTGGCATTGCTAAGCATTTAAAAAAAAATAGGTGACGATGAGTAAATTCGTAAGGTGGTGGACATTGCAGTTGACCAAAATAATAGAATAGTAAATCTTCACTCAGGGAGGGAGAGAGAGAGAGAGAGAGAGAGAGAGAGAGAGAGAGAGAGAGAGAGAGAGAGAGAGAGAGAGAGAGAGAGAGAGAGAGAGAGAGAGAGAGAGAGAGAGAGAGAGACAGCAAGAGAGAGAGCGAGAGAGAGAGTGCTCGATGCAAGAGGTGCAGAGCTTCGAGTTACAGACAGAAAGAAGGGGGGGGGGGATTGTGGAAAATACGAAGACGCCAACAGCGTCAATGTGTGTAAAAAAATAGCTATGTTTGATTGGAAGATAATCATTAATTTTGAGGATCAAGTGACAGCAGCCGACACGAATGCCAAAGTGACGGGTAGAGTACAGGCCAAGGTAAGGCAACTTGGAGACAAAGGGTGTGAGAACTAGCTCTGTCATAGTTGTCCATGGTTGGTTGGTAGAAGCGTCAGACCAGAAAAGAACCACGGGTTGCATTGGTGGTCCACATTTGGTACGTTCAATTTGCCAAGAAGTATTTTGCACGAATGAATGGGACTCCTTTCCTCATCAGGAGTGATACCAGGCATTGGTTAAACTCACAAACAACATTGTCCAGGACCACCATTGTCCAGTCAAAGTTCCAACCAGTTGAACTCGGAACCAAAAACATGGCACGCACAAACGCACACGTGTGCACACACACACACACGCACACACATACACACACATACATACACACACACTGCGCCAAAATACAAGACTACACATTGTGCAATATGCCTGCACTGCACCTACCTTTTCAGTTTCCTGTTGGGTGCTTCCAAGCGGCATCTTGGTGGCCTGGGACCAGGACGGAATCGGGACTATGACCTCCTGGATCTTCTCGGACTCGTGAAATGATCGGGACAAAAACACGCAACTCATCGTCGTGCCTCTGAACAAGACAGGTGAGAAAAAGAAGATCGGGGGGAAGTTAGAGAACAGTTTGGAGACGAGGATCACTGGAGCCAATGCAGATGTGTGTGTCATCACACGACACTTGTGTGTGCGTGTACACAGATCTCCGGACAGCTACCTGTTATCACCTTGTTAGGTTCAGGTGTCGTCGGCGGAGCTCAGAGTGATTGGCAAAAAAGCATCTTGTGGTCTCAAAGCAACACAATTGGGGCGCTCTAGCTGAGAGAAAAACAGCGAGCTTTTGCACAAGGGGAGAGAACGCGACCGAGAACAGGACAGAGTGCTCAACCGAGTCGATGCTAGGGAGCGTATTACTCAATGTCACCCATTGGAACGCGAGCATTGGGTAAAACATCTCAGTGCTTCAGGCAGTCTGCCGTGCTATATACATGTATATATCAGGCATCACAGCCGGGCCTGGATGAATGCACATGCCCTTGTATGGCAAGAATGTGAAATCCAGAGAGAGAGCATGCAAGTCAAAACGTAAGCTGTTATCTAACCTTTTTGTGAACAAAATGAAGTCTCTACCGATTCTCATAGCGCCTCTGCACAAGAGAGAGAGAGAGAGAGAGAGAGAGAGAGAGAGAGAGAGAGAGAGAGAGAGAGAGAGAGAGAGAGAGAGAGAGAGAGAGAGAGAGAGAGAGAGAGAGAGAGAAAGAAAGAGAGAGAGAGAGAGAGAGAGAGAGAGAGAGATAGAGAGAGAGAGAGAGAGAGAGAGAGAGAGAGAGAGAGAGAGAGAGAGAGAGAGAGAGAGAGAGAGAGAGAGAGAGAAAGAAAGAGCAAAAGAAACCAGACATTGTGCACTGGCACGGGGCATAATTAAATAATAATAATATTCGGGCATGATTGCCTGCACATAAAAGCAGGCTCATCCTGCCACCACGGTCATAGAATACCATCTGGCCAGAACAATTCAAGCATCAAAGTACAAGAGAGATGCAAGAGATTCACTGACTAGAGCACTGGTTCCCCATCTAACAAGGCCACAGAGAGGGGATAAACAGCGTGCTCAACATGTTATGGCCTGTCTGTATCTGCCTGACAGAAGCAGGCTAATTGGGGCAGGGATACATAGGCTTAACGCTGCCAAAACACACACACACACACACACACACACACAGCAGCAGCTCCATCAGGCCCTACACAAGTCCATTGTACAAACTACATGGTAAGAGCTGTGCTACTTAGCACTAAGCCAGCCATCCCAGAGACACCACGCACATTGACACACACACCACACACACACACACACATCCACATCAACACACACACACACATACACACACACATCCACACACACACACACACAGACACACACACACACACACACACACACACACACACACACACACACACACACATCCACCACACACCCACACACACAGACACACACACACACACACAGAGACACACACAGAGTCTAAGTGGTACTGTACAGAATGACCCACACAAGCAGTACAGTGTAAAGACATGCTGTGACAGGTAGATGTAAGCCACAATGGGGGCCCAGTGTGAGCTCAGGCAACCCAGAGATGGCAGTGCACACCAGACCACATGACACATCATGCCTGCATGGCTGGCTGGCAAGACAGGCTCACCCCCTGGTGAGTGGTGGCACAGTAGTAGGCCTTGCCTGATGGTGTGTGTGTGGTTGTGTGCAGTGTGTGTGTGTATGTCTGGGGAGAGGCATACTTTACACACAGCATCTGGCTGTTTGTGCACAAGTACTTCCACCTGCTATGGTAGAAAAGCAGTACTAGTAGTAGAGTGTGCTATTATTTTTACTAGGGGAGTGCCAACAGGTATGGCCTTACTACACTCTGTAGTCTGGGCATGACTGATACACCAGGGCAGGCATGCATGCCACCCACACACTCAGGCCTGCATGCCATCCACACACTCAGGCCTGCATGGCAAGCCAGGCTAGCAGTAGCAGCAAATCAAACTCAAGCACCCACACACAGCACTGACACCACTGGGAGTAAACCAGCTGTTTGTCAAAGAGCATAGTGCTTAGTTAGGGCTCTCTGTAAGAGGGACAAGCCTGTTGGCATTGCCCTAGTCAAATAACAAACTCAACTAGCACTACTTCTTCAAAGTTCTTGACTACAGTTCATGTACATAGAAATATTTGTTCACAGACAGGCATTGTGTGCCAAGTATAATGCCCCACTCCCCACAAATACACACACACACACACACATCACCATGTACCATGTATACGCCCGTCGCAAGAGAAGCACGCAAATCTGCAAATGCGCTGGATGTGCACCCACAGATTTTCTCTTATAGCAACGATAGCGGACAAGATCTGAATGAGACAGATCAAGACTTGCGCCAGATAACTGTCTAATCCACACAACTGGCGAAGCCATGTGAATCGACCACCAATGCACACCTGGTCTACACCACACGGAGTACATCGGCATAAAACGGCCAAGACAGTTACCTATGCACAACCTACACTTGCTGGGGTAACCAGACACATCACACACACACACACACACACACACACACACACACACACAGCCAGACATCGTTGACACAGAGAGTGGGTCCACTCTCCAGGCGAACCTTGACCTTCGACCTTGACACCCATAGCCAGAGGCAATGCTACGGCAGAAGACGTAGCAACTTGTGATGTGTGGATTGCACCATTCAACAGCTCCAAAGGCTGAAGAATTGGTCGCCACTATTCAACCCGGTCTACACTGCACAGATTTCCTTTCGAAGTGGCCTTTATTGGCCAGTGAATCCCTATTTTTTTCTTCTTTTTTTTCCACACACACACACATCACACCACATACTCTGTCATGCACTGGTTGTTGGTAACCACCCAGGAGAATGAAAGAAAAGCCAGGAAAATGAGAAAGAGAAGACAGACGTGTGTTGGGTGCGCTGGGGATTGAACCCGCAACCTGTTGATCGAAAAACATTCACTGAGGGATGGGTGTGGGAGCTGTCTTCGCTACAAGATGAAAGGGTTCGCGAGATTTGGAGAAATATATTGTCCACATTGTGGCTCATAACTTGGATGTATTTGTGGCGGAAAGTAATGGGAGGCATGCGTCTACAACTGTAAGATGGCCTTCACCTTTTTGCGGGACAAGTCATTCCATACTTGGCAGGTACAACCCATTCTAGTACATTTATGAGTATGACCTCACAAAGTTCACGACCATTTATGCAGACTTGGTATCAAGGTGTGTACGGTTATAGTGGACTTGCCCCGCAAAACCTAACAGTGGGAAATTGATGCATACATCCCATTCTGTGAAAGATCTCCTTCCACACACGTTTCCAGGACAGCTGGTGAAGGCAATCTGATTGTCACCAGTGCGGGAGTGTGCTATTGTTGCAATCGTCCAGCGTCAAGTTGGCTCAGATGCTGGGCCAATTTCAGCCAGCGACACAGGGTTGGGAACCTCAAACTGGGCCAGGTGTGGCGGCACTCGGTTCACCAGATCAACATTGTAGGTGACCAGCGTGGATGAGTAGCACACCTCGTCCGCTCTGTGCTCGGGCAGGCAATAGCATATTGGCAGTGTCGTATGCATTGCTCCTGGCTGGCGTGCTCAAGTTGCCAATCTCATCCTTGCTCAGCCTTGGGAGCCACCAGGTGACGATGCACACGGTTTTGAAGTGGACAGTTTCTCACTCCAGCAAGCAAGCAAGCCGGACAGTGCATATCTGAAACAGGCACAAAGAGAGCATCGCCGACAGGAGAGAAAGAGAGCAGAGCTGCGGCTGTAAACTTACGACTTCAGTCCATTGCCATACTGGCCAATGGATTGGGCATCTCGACTCCGCTTGCCAGAGTAACCAAACTGGATTACCTTTGCGCTTTGCTCTGCCGTGGAGATGCAGATGACGGCAGGGATAAAGAGAACAATAGGCAAGCAAACAAAGGAAAGATCAGAATTAGGTGGGAATCTTGAAAGAAAAAGATGGACACAGAAACACACACACACATGCGCACACACACAAATACACACACACAGACACACACACACACACACACACACACACACATACACACAGACACACATGTGCACATACACACATACACAGACACACACATACACACAGACACACATGTGCACACACACACATACACAGACACATACACAGACACATATACACACACACACACACAGTCACACACACACACACGCACACATACAGAGACAGACACACACATATACACACACGCGCACAAACACACACACATGCGAACACACACACACAAGCGTAAAAGGACGCACCGGGAGACATGCCTTCGCCATCGTCGAGGAAGCATAGAATCTTCTCACCGCGCACTGAAGCGCAATCCTCTGTGAACAATGAACATACACGCACACACACACACACACACACACACACACACACACACACACACACACACATGCCCACGCACGGACACACACACACACACGCGCGCGCGCCCAAACACCAAAAAAAACCCAGACAAAACATGGTATGGACCCTGACACACACTGAACAGATTGTTCCAATAGAAAGTGCAGTGGCGAGCAAATTGGAATTACAGCTAGCCATACAGAAAATTACCATGCTTGGGTGAGTGCAGCGTGACATGTTTGTAGGACCCTGTGTGCTCGATACACAGATGACAAAATGAAATGCAAGAAAAAGAATAAAAAAGTGGGCAAAATTATATGAGAAGAAACACACAAAAAAAGTGAGAAAAAAACTCTTATAGACCGATAAATTCTCACAGACCTGATTTCTATTTGTTGAGAAAGTTGAAATAGGAAAACGAAAACGTACGAAGAAAAAACTCAGTGACACCACCAGGAGAGGCCAGCGATGCTCTAACCACTGTGCCATGGTGTGGCCGTCGCGGAGAATAGGGGTGGGGATTGTTTTTGTTTTGTCAGGGCATGGTACGCAGCAGCCGCTTGAACATGCGCAATTGCAACTTTGTATGATGCTGTTCTCCAGCTGTCGATCAGCTTCGTTCAAATGGCCTATTCTAAAATCAGAAGTATGCAACAAAAACGATAAAGAAAAGAAGGTGCACAGTCGCTAAAACGAACATAAAGCAATGTATGGCGAGGATGGAGACACATGTATTGTCACGTTTGAGATTCCCATGATAGGCATCTATTTGCCTTTGGAAAATCAATCAAATAAAGAGAAAGAAAACAAAGAAGAAAAGAGCTTAGTATGGAGAAGAAATCAGTCGAGTTTTTTGAGTTCTTGATTCTCACGATGGCACCATCGCCAATAAGAGTTATTTGCTGTCTAGTGAACAGCGCTGTCAGTCATTATGATGATTCTTGGCTCAGTATTGCATATCTTGCCCATAGCGTTCAGCAGCTGAATGAGTTGGAGGCAGTACATGTATACCGCCGCAAGCTGTACTGTACGTTTTGCCCGTAGCGTTCAGCAGTTGAACGTGCTGGAAGCAGTATGCCGTCAAAAGCACACAAGCGTTGCAAGCAGCACATCGCCACAGGCTGTATAGCAAGTCTTGCTCGTAGCATTCATGAGAGGAAAACATCGGAAGCAGTATGCCGTCACAAGCACAAGCGTTGGAAGCAATACACCGCCACACGCTGTTTTATATGTCTTGCTCGTCGCGTTCATCCACAGAAAGTGTTGGAAGCAGAAGTACAAGCCAGACAGAACTACGCAGTGAGCGCCGGTGGCCCCTTATCTTCGTTTCAAGTGACCATCATCACCAGTAGAATTCATTGTTGACATTAAGGATCTGGCAAACAGAAGTAGTTTAGGTGTCAGAACAAATAATGCTGTATAAATTGACATTGTTGCGCTTCGTCACATTATCACCATGTACTGATTCGAGAAGTAATGGCACGAAAGGCCTCAGATTTACAACTGGCTTCGTCTCTTCGTGTGCTGATAAATGATGCCACAACTATAAGTAAAAGAGTGTACGGGAACAGATTGACTTGTATCTATAAGAATTCGAAACTTGCGTACAAAGCCAAAATAATAGTTCTTCGGGCAAAGGCCCAGAAAATATCAAATGCGGGGAGTCCTGGACTTTGAGTGTCCCTCACTAAACTAAAAAGACGTTTTCTGAATGGTTCTCCAACAGGAAACTCTGTCCTGAAAGGAAAAAAACCCAACATTTCTTAGTCCACTCCACAAAATCAAAACTGGAAAAAGAGTAGTGTACCAAATGTAGAGCATGTGCAAATATGGGTTTCAGCCAGGTAGATTGTGATCGAGAAGTTCATGAAAAAAAGTGTCGAAAATGCACTATGCGGAGGCTTCACTCAAAGGAAGAATTTCCCGCATGAGAAGCAGTTTAGCTGGCAGTTTAGCTGGCATAGCTAACACACTTTGCATCAAATGGCGGGCGAAAACAAAACGCAGAAAGAGATCCACTCCCAAGCCGAATATGGCTTGCATCCATAGAAGGGCATCACTAGCAACGAGGCCAGAACTTGTGCGCAAAGTTGAGCAATCGCTAGAGTAGAAAAGCCTCTTCATGAAAACCAAGCCAGCAGGTACACCAGCACCCACAGTACATCCAAGTCCATACATGTACGTCACCACCTGCCAAAAGGAGCTCCCTAAAAGACAACTTTCCACACAACGTCAGCGCCAAATTAGGGTCACGCACCGAACATTATTATAAGGGACGGAGTAACTTATGGACACCACGGCACAAACAAATATGCCTTGTAAGGAGTGGCCGTAGGACATGAAGTACGGTGGATCTCTGATAAAACAACGTTCGCAACAAGCAGAAGAACGTCGATGGTGAAAAGAGGTCGGGCGGCGCAAGTTGCAGAGACGTGCGCACCAACAAGGCGGGAGGGGGACTTCGGACTTCGGGGTATAAGACCTTGCCCGTAGGTAAGGGGGGGGGGGGGGGGGGGGCTCTGATCATCACTGGATCAGGCCATGTCCGCAGTGCCTTCTAAAAATATAGTGCTGCTCAACGAAATCCGATCGCGCGAGTCAAGTTTGCGCTCCACACCAGCTCACATCCCAGTGTTGCCAGGTCTCGAGCTGCACAGCGCACGGCATGGAATTTACTTGTTTGATCGGATTTCACTGAACAGAATTGGATATGGCCAGCGGAGGGAAGGCTGAAGGGATGCGCGGGAGGAGGAGGAGGAGGAGAGGGGGGGGGGGGGGGGGAGAGTAGCAAGGGGGAGGAGGTGGGGAAGGAGGAAGGAACTACCATGGGAAAGAGAGATGGGGAAGGAGGAATGAGCAAGGGAAACAGAGATGGGGAAGGATGAGGAAGGAGAGGGAGAAAGTAGCAAGGGAAACATAAATGGGGAAGGAGGAAAGGGAAGATGAGGAGTGCATCATGCAGGGAGTAGATGAATGGCACGCTTCCTCAAGTTCCTGCTGAAAGAGATGAAGACAAGCACAGTGGCCCTGCTTTGGAAGCATCAGTGACCCGACTCAGTCATACAAAACGGCTGATGTGCCACAGAAATCCAACACTCACGCTACGAAACCACCGACAGCAGGAGACAGATCAAACACTTTGTTTGTTCCCACTTTCTTAACCATCAGCTGCTCTTCTGGATGAATGACTCGCTGTCCACGTTGACTCCATATGCCACGATGTTGCAAACAAGCCTAACTGCTCACTGGGCACAGCAAAACAATGCCTTAGTCAGCCAGAAGTCTGCGGGAGCCGAGCTGGTGAATGTTGATCAACACCACCAACTAGAGATTCAATGCTCCTTCCGCCGAGGGCCGTAGAGCGACAGGACGTGCATGCGGCTGCTCCATTGCACGTACCGGGGATGGCCCCAGTTGCTCGAAATGCCCTCCTTGCGCTCCAAAGGCACCATGGCTGTGGGGTGATGGGATGATCAGGCATGGTGCCGTCACAGGCAGAATCCCTTCAAACAGACAGCCGCAGTGCCACTCTGGACTATGCAGACTCCATTTATTCAGTCAGTCGTCTGATTACTGGCACAGATCGGAAGCGCCGACATCCAGAAACTGCAGATTCTGGCTTCACCGCAGAGGAGCTGCCGTCTTTTCGCGCACCGTGCCCATTACGCTAACTCCGCTCCACGCACACAAACGCACAAGAAACAGCAGGACAATTCACATGCACAAGAACGGGGCAGATAGCAGGCAACTGGGTGAGGAAACGACACAGATCTTCAGAAAGAATGAAAGTGACAAATAAACGGCAAATGGCAAGGTACTGTAGGTAGGTGGGTATTCCGTTTGTTTATCATGGTATTATGTCACTATCATTTGTTCTATTCACAGCTTTGTTACCAAGGTAGGTGTTCAGAAATAATGCCGGTGACAAGACTGACAAACAGCAAGACAGAGGTGCCTTGGTGAACTTGCGAGCCAACGGAGGCAGACCACGGGCAAAGAAATGCCAGACATCTGCAGAATCGCAAGATGAAGATTTGCCCCAAGGAAACAGTGCATTTCTTAGCAGAAAGCAAGCCCCCATGCCGAACAAACCAAGATGCCACAATCAACCCGAAACAATGGACACCGAATACAAAGTGTCACTGCCATGACTACGCTGTCCATGTGACGACAGCAAAATCTCATTCTCTCAAATGGGTACTATGCGAGTGGAAAGACACACACACGGCATGGGTTGCAACACTGAGAATCGGCAGGACGCCAACCAGAACCACAGAGGCATGACCGGGCTTGATAAAACCACTGATAACACACACACACACGCGCGCGCGCGCACACACACACACACACACACACAAATGCATAGTCAGCATCTTATCGCTCCACAGTGCCGTGTGCGCACTCCACGTGGCGGTGGTCGTCCACACAAAACATAACACATTGGCAATACACGGTAGTGGAAAACAGCAACAGCTGCAGCCCATCACCACGTCTCTGTTCCGATACAGATACGCTGCACGCTGCGACATGACCAGTAGCGACAACACCGGCACGGCCGTCCAACCCTGGTGGTTAATTCCACTCGAGAGCAGGACCGGCGGAACGCATCACAGGGAGCAGGGAGTCAGTATGCTACTCGACACCACTGCCACATAAATCGCGCTCATTGGCCGCGGTCACCGTCATACAACAAGCTGGCATCACAGCCACTGGGCTAGTCGTCCGTACTGACCCCCAAAAAGAAGACAGACGCGCGCGCACGCACACAACAGATCTTCAAGACGGGACGGCAGGCACACTCGGCACAAAAAGCCAGCTACAAAAAAATGGGTGGCTGTCAATATCGGACTCATCCGGAATTGGGTCGGGGGTGGAGGAAGGGGGGGGGGGGGGGGGACTTATGGATGGCACAAGACGTAGAAAAAAGGTGTACTAGCAATGCCGAGGCCAGTACAACCGGGGACAAAACTCGCATGAGATGAGGCTTGCCATACGAGTGTGCACACGCCCGCACATGTACGCACGCAACCTTCCATTTCCACAAGTGTCCGGACTATTCTCCGCGGCGAAAGGACTCTCCAAAGTCCATTGGTGAGAAGTCGCCGTGGAAGCCTCCGCAAAAGAAAGCAACGCGATAGCATGATCACATTGTGCAATGTCAAACACACACACACACACACGTGTGGTTATGTACACGCACGCACACACACACGTGCGTGCACTTGCACACCATGCACATGCACAAACACGCACGCACACACACACGCACATATGTGAGTACATGCACACGCACGCACACACACACACACACACACACACACACACACATCACAAGAACCAGGGGAAGAAGCATTACCCGTGTAGATATTAATACGACTGGCTCCTGCATCTCTGCACACGGACAACAAAGTAAAATGTAGACACAAATACACACCACACATGCACATCACACAAATAAACACCACACATGCACAACACACAAATGAAGACCACACATGCAGACCACAAATGCACATCACACATGCCCACATACGAACACCCACACCCACACACACCACGATCACAGGATCACAAAATAGAATAATGAGATATACCCAAACAACCCAGGCACAAAGGAAAAGTATTAGTTATTAGTAGACTACTCAAGAAAGTCCACACCATCAGTGCCCTATTTCGGAAAAATCAGAACAAAGCGGATGGGATACAAGGCGAACAGCTGGCGGGGACAGTTGCAAAAACGTCGCGCGCTTGAGCAGGGCAGTAGAATTTCAAATACACGCACATGTACAACATGTACTGAGTATGTCACTACGTAGCACTCCTGTGGCATTCCGCCAAAGTCCGATTGGTGTTTAGTTGTTGGGAACAGGGCGAAAACTCACCGCGAGTTGTCGACGAGCTCGGCCAGCGCTCCAAACAAGAACTCGTGAGTGGTACTGCAGAGCAACAACACGCCGGCAAGACATAAAATTAATAAAATTAAAATTCACGACGAAGCCAATACGCCTAGTATTACGGTAGGACTTGTGGGCTTCACCATACCTGTTCGTATGTAGATATTCAACGGAGAGTTGAGCTCGCTGCAATGAGGAATACAGCCTGCTTGTCATTGCAGCAAAACCACCTTCGCTGCTCCGAGCCGGCACACGTTTCAGAACTTGTAACTGATTATTTCTTCACTGAGGACACTGCTAAATGGTTGAATCACGACGCGCATACGAGCAAGCCACGCCGGCCTGCTGCCGACCTTGCAATGGGCCGAGCTAAGCTCCTCAGACTCGGTTGCTGATCACAGTGGTTTGGAAACAAGCGAGCGGAGGAAAAATTATTGGCAGGGAGTCAGACCTGCGGGAGGCCTTGAATTCAGTAGACTGTAGACTGTAGTTCCAGTGGACAAACAGCGTTCGAAAAAACAAAACTTTGCACGGCGCAGCTGCGACTGAAGAGCCTGACCCACACGGAACGCAGCTTTTATACTCGACTTTTCCCGCCTTTGTTAGCACATGTGTACATGCGGTACATGCATCAAGGACAAGGGAACCGTACAAACGAGAGCTAGAATCTAGATCAGAGTCTGACAATAGTGACAATGCTGAGTACTGCGACTGTGTCAATGCGCATAATAATGAACAGAATAGTGACAATTATTTTCTTGCAAGTGGCAGACGTCGCGTCGACACGTACAGTCATATCGGCACTCATAGAATGACTATGACCATGATGACTCTGCTACAAGTACAAGTAAATTAGTTAGTACAAGTACAGTAGAGCTACAGTCTGACATGAGTGAAAAGATTCGAGCCACCGATCTACATACATAACACTACTGCTATCACTACTGAGTAGATCTACTGTCTACACTCTTAGTCTTATCTACAGCTGAGCTGATGTCAGCGCTGAGCCGAGTATTTCATAATTAATTTTGACACCGTGACTGTACTGTCTATAAGATCTGCCGATACCAGGGACTGCGGCCCGGGGGTACTGAAATCCTATCTACCATGAATATTATTATCATTATTAGATCTACCTTTGATGAGTCCACTCGACCTCCCCGCGTTGTCCTTGACTGGCGCGCGTATGGCATGGATTTTTTTACTGCTACGTACAAAAAATAATGTAGGTCTACAATCATGACTGCACTGTAGCTCTTTTGTTCAATGATGCATCGATGAGAAATTGAAGTGCTCAGCTGTTATCGTAGTCTTTTTTTTTGCATCGGATCCAGCAGACCATGCTGGGTAGACCAGCTCTCACCACGCAAACAATAAGTCTGCCGATCAGCTCCACTGACTTTGTAGTTCAAGCCGAACTAAAATTTTGACTTTGAAAGGTCGTACATTCATTGTACAGTAGCATAGAGTCAAACAGATCGATTTGAAATGATTTTGACATGCTTCTGTTTTGTGTGTGTGTGTGTTTTTGTTTTTGTTTTTTTGTTTTTGTTTTTCATTGGAGCGCGCGCGTTCACATCACATGACGCACTCCGTGGCACGAAGAGTCACGAACCGGATATGGTGAAGGGTTCATGGTGAAGGGTTCATGTACTCGTAGACCCTACCGACCCTACCGTACGAGAACGATCGGAGTGCACTTTTTTCTTCGGGCATCAATGCTGGCCGAGAAGCGGAAGGAACCGTTCTCCATGGTGATGGCTCACCTTCGTTGCCGCCTAGGGTTTGCCCTCATCCGACAGATCGGCGATTGCAAGCTTAAGGTGGCAGACGGGTCAAAAATCGAAAAAATCGAAAGTTGTCAGAATATGTTCATTGATATCTCAAATGAAAGGTATAGCTCTGTAGTGTATGTTACTGAAGTTTTAGCATCGTCAGACCTCTCTGTGTGGCCATACAGCCCGTCAAAGTTTGCCCTTTGCGTTGAAAAATTCAAAATTTGAATTGAGAATTTATTGGAAATACATCCGGCGTAACCTATAGATTTTTAGCAGTTCCAGCGGTTTTACGCTGCCAGGGGAACCATGCTGGTCATTCCTCGCGCTGATGAACGTCATGAACTGATCCACATCAGTTCAGCTGCACAATGTAGCTGGCTCAGGCGTAGGCGTGGGCGTGCGTGCGTGCTTACAAAAATACTCAACAGTTGCGACCAAATTGTCACGATCGCTCTGACTGTTTTTCCGGATGTCCCTCAGCATCTCACGCAAGCATCGTAAAGGAAGGAAGAAAGTATCATCTAAATTTAGAGGAAATCAGTGGACAAAGAAAGCGGCAGAGACCAGAGCAGCGCCACCTGAAGCTGACGACGTGTTTGAGGAATTAGATGCAGATGCATCGCACAGAAAGCTCGTAGAATTTTGCTTTGAAAGTGACAGCAGTGCGTCTGACTATAGCAGTTCCGGGAGTGATCAAGAGGATGGCGAAGAGGCTGGACAGCGGCGGCTAGTTGACATCTCTTGCCTGAACACCTTGATTTCGTCGGCCTTGTGCAGCTCTTGTCAGCAGCCCACGCTGAGTATTGTTGAAGACCAGTTGAAAGGTTTTGTTCCGCATGTCAGTTTGCAGTGTGCCTCATGTGGTGAAACCGTAACTCAGGCTCTGGGTGTAAAGGGAATACAAGGTCGTCATTATGACGTTAACAGGAGAGCTGCACTGGCTATGAGATGCATCGGAAAAGGGTACTCCGCAATGACGACGCTATTTGGCATTCTTGGATTGCCGCGTCCCATGTCCAAGAGCACATACTATGAGCACAGCAGTGTTATGTGCTCCAGTATTGAAGCAGTGGTTCAGCAAAGCATGTTGAAAGCAGCTGAGCAGGCTACTCTTAGTAATCCCGATACAGATCATCCAGACCAAGTTGCTGTGACGATTGACGGCACCTGGATGAAACGTGGGTTTTCTAGTCGGTACGGCATGGTGTTTGCTATTTCGTGGGAGACGGGCCAAGTTCTGGATTTCTGTGTTCTGAGCAAACATTGCAGTAGCTGCCAGCGTTGGAGGTCCGACAGGCGTTCTGGCAAAGTCTCCCAGGCGGAATTTGAAGCGTGGAGTGCGGATCATGTGTGCGATGTCAATACTGCTGCTTCATCTCCGGCAATGGAAACTGAAGGTGTAGTGACACTGTTCAATCGCTCAGTCGCTACCAGGAAACTGATGTACACCACATACATTGGTGATGGTGACAGTAAAGGCTTCCAGGCAGTTGTCAATGCCAAGCCATACGGAGACGTAGAGATCACGAAGGAGGAGTGTGTCGGGCATGTGTCGAAGCGCCTGGGCAAGGCATTGCGTGAACTCAAGAAGAAGAAAACACCGCTGAGTGATGGAAAGCCGCTTAGTGGTCGAGGGCGCCTGACAGATGATCTATGCGACTCACTGCAAACATATTACAACTTAGCCATCAGGAATGGCGCTCAACTACCTGGCGACCCAATCACTAACATGGCACGACTCGTTTGGGCGTCAATTTGCCACCGGGCTTCTACGGATGCAAAGCCAATGCACCAGTTCTGCCCAACAGATGACGATAGCTTTTGCAAGTGGCAGCAGTGGAAGGCTGGGAAAGCACCACCATATATTCATCGAAATCCCTTACCATCTGCAGTGTTTGAAGCCGTCAAGCCGATATATCAACGGCTAGCGGACAAGCCACTCTTGGAGCGCTGCCGACGTGGAGCCACGCAAAACCAAAACGAAGCTCTGAATGGTTTGGTGTGGCAGTATTGCCCAAAGACTGGTTTCTGTGGTGTTGAAACTGTCAAGGCATCTGCTGGACTTGCTGTCATCAAGTTCAACCACGGCTCCAAGATGTTTGAGCGTGTTCTTGAAGAAATGGGGTGCGCCACGTCCCGCAGCACCTCGACTAGGCTATCATGCATGGATGCTGATCGCCTGTATTTCTCCAAGAGAAAGCACTCCACAGAAGAGAAAGAGGCTAGGAAAAGAAGAAGAAGAGTCAGGAAGGGTCTGGAGGAGGATACAATGGAGGAAGAGGGAGTCACCTATGCTTCTGGTGGCTTTTGAGCAGTTTTCGAGTGGAAAATGTAGTTGAGAACACTTAGTTTAGATAGCAGAATATTCCTGTTTTTTGCCCTATTCCGGCACTTTGGGACACTCTTTGACTGTTGAGACTCAGTTTTAGGTATAGAAAACTATACATTTTTGGAAACTGTGGTGCATTTGTGTCATCATGGACCACAGTTTATGCCGAAAGTTCCTACTGCAATGGATTTTTGTTCCATTGAAATGTATCTTATCTATGCGCGATCGGACATTTGTGACTTGATCGGTGGCTAGGCTGATTGTTTTAGCTTTTGGACCAAGTTGTTTTGGTCCATGATACTTTCAATAGCCAGTAGGTTACTCTTGGATCTTTTTTTGACAGGTTGTTGTCATTTACGTTGTTGTATTTTTGTCCCGAAGTTCGGCTATTTTTCGCCCGTCATCTGGGAAATTTGGTTGACGGTGAAATGATGATCGACAAACACAGCTCATTGGGTAGTGTCCTATATGAAATCTGTTCGTCTAAGGATTCAGTGTTGAAAATTTGAAGTGAATCCATTGATTTGTACCGAAGTTCGGCTCGATGAAGCTCGTTTGAGTCTGAAAAAAGGTCGCGAAACCAGTCTGCCACCTTAAGAGGTCATCGATCCAGGCGAGCACCTTTGGATCAGCAGCTGGAGTGCCCCTCAGCTCTAGTGAATGCTGAGTGTCGTCTGGGTTAACCCTCACCTCTTGTTATATGGCTGTATTGTTTTTCGCTATTAGTTAGTTTTCTTTGTTATGATTTCTTTTTTTTCTTTTTCTTTTTACCAGGCGTGGGCCATCCCCTGAATTCATAGGTGCCAAACATTCTTTTTCTTTAGTTTTCTTTGTTAATATGATTTCTTTTTTTTTCTTTTTCTTTTTACCAGGCGTGGGCCATCCCCTGAATTCATAGGTGCCAGACATTCTTTTTTCTTTCTTTTTCTTTTTACCAGGCGTGGGCCATCCCCTGAATTCATAGGTGCCAACTCTTTTTAATAATATGTTGCCATCAAAAAACTTTTTTCTTCGGGAGTTGAGTAGACTACGGTATACCAGGTATACAGCGTAGATTCTACCGGCCGGAAGCTGAGACTGTTCTCCTTGCAGTGTTCGGTGCATTGTTCAGTCGCACATCTGACTGCAAATCTCCATGACGCAGCACACCAGAACAAGGTGTGGGTCCTCTTTACTCAGTACTAGTAGAGACGAGTCGAGCGAGCTGTACTCCCGGTACGGCGAGGTGGACTTACATCACGGTATAGCAACTTCCCCCGTCTAACCGGTGGTTAAACCCCAAGACAAAGTGAATACAGTTGTTTTTCATTTGACCCGACGAGACCACACGACGCTTGCAGACGAGAGCACGAACAGTTCACCAGCCAAACTCCACGAAAGCAAGTAGTATTACTCCTGGCAAGTCTTGTTTGTTGTTGTTTGTTTGTTGTGCTTTTATTTATAGTCGTTCAAGCAAACTGAGGCAATGGTGCCTTCCCACACGGAGACGACTTACAAGAGGAGAGGGCAGAAGAAAATGGGGAGGGGAGAAAAAGCAGGCACGGAAGGGAGATACAATGTAGAATGGAGAGGATAATGTAGTATAGATTAAAGAAGCAGGAGTAAGATCCAGATCTTTGGCTCAATCTTTGGCGTAATCAG